AAATTCGTATTTTATAAAAAAAAATTGGCAATGCCCGGAGGTCCGTACGTCGTTTTTCCTTAAAAAATCAGTACTATTTCCGGAAATTCCGGACATTTAGACACCTTGGAAAACTTAAGAGGAAAATATTCGCAAATTTCCCGGTAAATTCGCATTTTATCATAAGAAATTTGGCAATGCCTGAAGGCTCATACGTCGTTTTTCCTTGGCACGGCGGTATAGACCCGGGAATAAATCACGATTGGGGCCCAGGCTCCGGATCCCATAAAAGCGCAATAAACTTCATTCAAGCGGCATGCCGCGCACTGCATCGAGAATCAGGCATCGTGACTTTTCCCCCGTTAAACGGACGGAATTCGGAGACGTATTTATTGGCCCTCCACTTTCCCCGACACCCTCAAGACGTCATCCGGTTGATGGACTTGAACCTTACTCATTCATGTTTCACACGGACATTTGACCGCGTCCTCGCCGTGAACTTCGCGTTTAGGAATTAATATAGTTATGTTTTTCAGAATACTTATTCAATTTCCATCTAAGGAAAGACTCACTGGAAAAAAAAATACATTGGATCTAGAATCCAGACTCTTAAAAACATCGACAAGAAAAAATACTCTTGATTCAATCAGATTTAAGCTTAAATCAAGAACCAAGCCTCTTAATTTGAGCGGTTTTCCTTTTGATTCAAGCTTAAATCTGATTGAATCAAGAGTCCTTTTTCTTGTCAATGTTATCAAGAGTCTGGACTCTAGATCCAATGTGTGTTTTTTTTTTCCAGTGCAGTAAAATAAACTCACCAAAGGTATAATATAAATGACAGGTGTCAGGCCCTTAACTTTAAGCAGACATTGTGATTCTAGAAGTAAGCAATTTTAGGTAAATAAAGGTTTTTACATGAAAGCCAAAAAAGAAATAACTAAATATCGATAATGACCTAAACAGTGTATTTTTTTCAACTGACATGTTCAAGAGCCAAACTAGAGTTAATGCCTACGTGTAAAGTATCACGGAGCCGTATACAGTGTGGGAGTGTTTGCTCATTTCAAATCGCCTTCAATTTAGTAGGTATACTTAAACACAACACCAATGTACGAATAGTTGTTTGCGTAAAATTGAGTCGATTTCAACAACATTCCTCCTTCAGTCTCATAGTGTTTTTTGCGCAGAAGTTGAATAATTCAAGTTTCTTTAAGTAGTTATAAAAGGTACTTCTCAATTATTTGAGCCAAGTTGTCCTTCGCCTGAAAACATTCTGTGAAACAAATGTTCTCCGCACACTTTCGAAGGTTGCTTATTTGAACACTAGGATGGGGAAAATGCCAAACCACGGATCTTCAACGGTTTTTGAAAACTTTCTGCGTACATTACTTTTTTTAAAAAACGTAAAGAAAACTAGTGGCGCAATTCCTTGAAAAACTCTTTGATTTTGCCTTTCAATCAGCAGAATTTTTTGTGGAAAGTTCAAGCTACGAAGGTAGATACTTTTTCTTCAAAAAAATAAAATAGGAGCGAAAATTTTGAAACACCGCATTGAAGATCTGTGGTTCCGCACTTCAGCCATTGATGTGAACTACTTAGACACTACATCACTTCTTTTAATACTTTATCGGCCATACTTATCAAATTAGTGCAGAACCTTTTTCTTAGCGATTTTTCAAAATTTCTCACCTTTTTTTTTGTGTGTGAAAACATCAACAATTTTTGAAGAATTGGTAAGAAAAAGGTTCTACACTAATTTACTGAGACATTATTTCGCGCACTGGAAAAAAAAAACACATTGGATCTAGAGTCCAGACTCTTAAAAACATGGACAAGAAACAATACTCTTGATTCAATCGGATATGTGCTTAAATGAAGAACCAAGCCTCTTAATTTGAGCGGATTTCCTTTTGATTTAAGCTTAAATCTGATTGAATCAAGAGTCCTTTTTCTTGTCAATGTTTTCAAGAGTCTGGACTCTAGATCCAATGTGTTTTTTTCCAGTTTCTAGACACTATGTCATTTCTTTTAATACTTTATCGGTCATATTTATCAAATTAGTGTAGGACCTTTTTCTTACCAATTTTTCAGAATTTCTCACCTTTTTTTTTGTGTGTGTAAAAACATCAACAATTTTTGAAAAATTGGTAAGAAAAAGGTTTTACTCTAATTCAATGAGACATTATTTCGCGGCTGAAAAGGCAATATCACCCTACGTAGAAAAGAGAAGCTAAGTAGCTCTTGGATTCGCATTTAGCACTGATGAGCCGGCTCGCGCACGGTCGCAATCGTTTCGCACGATCCGCGATCCGCGGTGGGTGCCGGGCGGTTTTTCGATTGAACCCAGAGCAAGACCTTTGCCGGGCCGGGCTCCGAGAGGAGAAATTTAAGCACGAAACGTCTCGTATCACTCGTAATTAAGCGTCTCTCTATAATCTATCGGGGTCTCTCGTGCGAAGTGAATGACAGCTTGGAGTCTCCGGTTGCCACGTCGAGGATCCTCCAACTCTGCCGTGCTAAGGAAGAACGCCGTATGAACCTTCAGACGTTGCCAAGTTGCCTTTGATTCAATACCAATTCACTGGGAAAGTTATTAATATTTTTCTTCCGATGGAGATGTTGCACGTGTGAACAGGGATTTGCGATTTGACTGTTGATTCTTATGTAAAAGTTCGCGAGAAACACGATGGTGCCACTGGTTTTCTCTGAGATCATCTCCCAAGCTCAAAAAAAGCTCTCAAGTTGAGGCCAAAATGGAGGGGATATCCCACCCTACCCTGAGAGTCCACCTCTACATCAAGACAAAGTCTCCATGCAAAGATAGGGATCAAATACATTGACAGGGCTGCCACTTTATTTGGGGAGTCTAAAACTGAAAACATGGTATCACTGCTAATGTATTTGCTCGCTATCTTTGCATGGAGACTTTGTCTTGATATGTAGAGGTGGACTCTCAGGACAGCGTGGGATATCTCCTCCATTTTGGCCTCAACTTAGGAGCTTTTTTGAGCTCGGGAGTTGATTTCAGAGAAAACCAGTGGCACCATTGTGTTTCTCCCGAATTTTTACCTAAGAATCAACCGTCAAATCGCAAATTCCTCACACATGCAACATCTCCATTTACTGGGAAAGTTATGAAAATTTTCCTTCCAATTTTTCACGCAACATTGTTCGCAGATTAATCTAAAATATCTGAAAATGTCGAGGAAAAATACGCAGAGCTTCCCTCTAAAAACAACATTTTATAGGAGGCAATTTGGCAACTCTCGAATGTTCATACGGCGTTCTTCCTTAGCACGGCAGAACTCCGCCCAGTTGGCGCTCTCGGCGATACATCGGGCTATCGAAGAAATTGGACAGTCGCAGCCGGCTAGCCGCAGTCTCAGGCGAATTATCGTGAAATCCGGTGGTTTTGCCCTGATTTAGAGATTAAGCTTAATTTCTCTATCGATTCGACGTATGATTACTCTCGAGCTAGATTTGATTCGGTAAAAAAGAAAGGAATGAAACAAGAAGTGAAGCTCTACTACGTTCGTGTTTAAGAAGCGCTCAGCTGTCTCCTATGCTGTCGTGCTAAGGAAGAACGCCGCATGAACATTCGAGAGTTGCCAAATTTCCTTGGATACAATGTTTATTTTTAAGGAAAGTAGTGAATATTTTTCCTTGAGTTTTTCAGGACTTCCAGGTGAAATTGTGAACAAAATTATCTGAAAAATTGGCAAGAAAATATTCATAAGTTTACCAGGAACTTCGTGTTTTACCAAAGAAAATTTGGCAACGCCTGAAGGTTCATACGGCGTTTTTCCTTAGCTTGGCACTATGTAGGCGCGTTTTAAAGTTCCCCGAAGAGGATGAGCACCGTTGTGATGAAAGAACTCGCTCACCAAAATTTTATGCGAAAACTGCACTACCGCTAGAAAAATAAATTCTCGAAAACCCGATCCTCTGTGCTTTGACATCAGAAAGCGAAAAATTAGCATTTTCAAAGCAAAGTTGCAAATCTCCGCTCATGTTTCATGCAATCGTTCAAAGGAATCAACCGACATTTTTTCTTGAAATGTTTTAGAATGTTCTTCACTCATTCAGAAATATTTGCCAAATAATTTCAAAGAGTTATTTTGATTGACTTTCTTTGGAAAAAATAAAATCAGAGATTTTGAAACGTTACAATGGGAATACACATTTTTTCTTCTTAAGTCACAATTGCATATATCTTGGAAGCGTTTTACTGACAGTGAGTCCTGCATTATTATCAACTGATGAAGGTAATTTCGAGAATTGTTTTGATTCTCTACTTGACTGGCTGATCTTCGTTCTTTTCAAAAATAAAAGAAATTGTTTTCCCTACTGCTCTTTATACTAAGCAATACATTAAATAAAAATAAACCTGAGTTGTTAAATCATAATAAGTAAGTATGAAGCAAATTTGACTGCTTCTACTTTAATTGACTAACAACCGAGACGGTATCACTCCGGTTAGATTGAAAGATCTATCGTCGAAAAACTGTCCGAGAGAATAATCCAGAGGTATCCAAGAGATATCAAAGGAACCAGTGGCGTGCTTTGCGATTCATCGATTGATCCGCCATTTAAACCCATGGAAAAGTATCGATAAACAGGGCGTTCGCAACGAACACCTCAATAATCGATTCTTCACCATAGTTTCAAGTGGGGAAAATATCGATAATCGATCCTTCACGCCAGTGGCTTGGCGTGCTTTGCGATCTATCGATATTTCCCCATTTGAAGCTGTGGTAAATAATCGATTATTAAGGTGTTCGACACCCTGTCCATCGATACTTTTCCATAGGTTTAAATGGTCGATCAATCGATATATCGCAAAGCACGCCACGCCACTGCTTCACGCCTCGCCACTGAATGATGAACCACTCCGATGAGAGATGAGTTCCGTTGCGAGTGGCACCGAGCGAAAATTGAAGCATCAAAGCATGACCACTCCTTTTGTTGATTCGATATTTTGGCCGACTATGACTAACCAACGGCTATTCGATCTGTTGCAGATGTGCCAGTACCGTGCGGGAGCGAGACCACCTTCTGGACAACGCCCGGACTCAAGCGGCTCCAGCGGAGCCTGAGCGAGCGGATCGCCACGGCGTCGACCTCCGGCGCGGATAACGGAAACGCCTTCAACGACACGATGCGACTCAACCTCCGGATGGGCCGCCGAGGGGACAGCCGCGTCATGTTCGCCATCGACGAGAACGGCGTCACCCAGGGCAGCGCGCGCGTCATCAGCCCCAGTCGCTGCCGCCCCAAGGAACCACCCCNCCCCCCCGCCCCCGGCTCAGCGCGCCCTCTCGCCCCCCAAACCGCCCCCCAGGCTCATCTTCCCCTTCGCCAAGCGGCCCGAGCCGCAACCAGAACCCGAACCTGATTACAACTCCCAGATGATCTACATCGAGAACAACTATATCGACTTCGTCTGCGGGCAGGGGCCTCCACAAGACTCCCAGTCCATCAAATTAGAGATCAAATGCAACGAGAAGGATAAAGTCGGGCAGGAATCCGAAGAAGAAGTAGAAGACGAGAAGGAGTGCAGCACTGTTTCGATCGTGCCCATCGAGGTGAGTCCTAGAAGAGTCTCGACCGTCATGATCGGCGGCGATTCCCATCCTCCACCCGAGTCGCCATCAGTGACAGTCATCGGCCCTGCTGATAAGGCCGACGAGGTCAACAAGGTGACGATCAGCGTGGGCCAGTTCAAAGGGAGCGACTCTTTTTACCAAAGCTCGATCCCTATCAATTGCGCGGATCGAGTTGCAGCTCCCCCTGACGACTGTGATACAAAGACGATTGCCAAAACAGAAGCGGAATCGCCCGCTCCCATACCGAGCACGCCGCAAGCGGGAACTTCTAGTCGACTCGAGGGCATAGCTGAAGAACCTCCAGATGCCGAGAAAGACCCGAGCGAGGCTGAAAATCTTATGACCTCCCTCATAAGAAGGAATTACGACCCGGTATTGGCCCTGCGGCAGAATTTGATCCCGCACATCTGCGGGAAGCCAAGCGAGCCCGCTCCTAGTTTAGACAAATACCCTGAGGAATCCAGTTGGGAGTCTTCAGCAAACAGTGTAAGCAGCGGGAAAGGCTCTAGTGCACCACCCACGCCGACACCATCCACGGTGTCGCTCTGTAGCGACAGGCCGGAGATCTTCTACTCCTCCAAGAACATCATCTCGGACTCGAACCATTACGAGTCGGTGTCGGACCCGATCTACGAGGAGATCTCGGACATTCCGCCTCCGCTGCCGCTCTCGCCGCCTCCGCCACTGACGACGCTCGAGGCCATCATCGACGACACGATCCCGACGCGCTCCATCTTCGAGGGCGCCTCCAAGTACGACATCCTCAGCTACCTGGTGGACGCCAAGCAGAGGTGCATCGCCACCGCGGAGGAGCCCGAGTACGTCATCGAGGAGTCGATCATGAACCAGACCATCATGGAGGAGGAGAACGAGACCGCGACGCCGGCCCACTCCCGGATCAACTCCCTGGACTTGAGCTGCTCCCGGCACAGTCAGGCCAGCTGCAGCGACTCCAGCGAGGACTCGGGCAACCACGTCTGCTCCTCCAATAACAGCTCCATACGGCACACGGATAAGGTGATTTTTGATACGCTCATTTCTCTGTCTAATTATTCGTTTTTCACAGTTATGCAAGCAAACCCTCTGGGCGGAGGCGTGGACGTAAGTAGGGGAGACTAGAGCACCTGTATACGGGAGGGTATTGCCGTCTCTGTGCCGCTCTCTGATTGGTTCATCAGTTTCAGGCTATCATGGAGCTCCAAAGTTGGACCAACACCGGAAAAAAAACGCATTGGATCTAGAGTCTAGACTCTTGAAAACATCGACAAGAAAAAATACTCTTGCTTCAATCGGATTTTTGCTTAAATCAAGAACCAAGCCTCTTAATTTGAGTGGATTCTCTTTGATTTAAGCAAAAATCTGATTGAATCAAGAGTATTTTTTCTTGTCAATGTTTTCAAGAGTCTGGACTCCGGATCCAATGTGTTTTTTTTACCAGTGTATGTCCAAACAGCAACTTTTTACGTTCAATATTAACCGAGATATCGCCCTTCGAAAAGTCAGGTTTTTGTCGTCATCCACCGCGGTAGTGACACCCTTGGTTTTTTCCACCTTGCTTTCATCAGCCTGTGCGACGCACATTGCACTGGTACAACCTGAAACTCGGGTGAAAGCAAGGTGGAAGGAACCAAGGGTGTCATTACCGCAGTGGATGACGTCAAAAACCCGACTTTCGGTTAGAACGTATAGAAAGTTGCGGTTTGGACAGATCTTATTATTTTTAGCTAATCCACAAGAAACGAGCATCAGTTTTAGCTAATCTACAAGCATCATTTCGAAGACGCTCACGTCCCTAAAATGGTAAATTAAAATGGTTAACTTTTCTACCCTTGCGTTTGAGTCTCTCAAAACCGCACAGATCCTTAATTACTAGCTCTGAGACTTGCCATTCTCGAGAGTGTCAGATATAGTTGAGGTGGATCCTCAGCTCTAAAAAATGCTCTCAATGACCAGAGATTTACTCGATTAAAATTTTCCCGATTTCTCTTTTCAAAATTTCAAGCAATTAAGGGAAGAAATCGTCATGCAATGGAAAAAAAACACATTGAATCTAGAGTCCAGACTCTTGAAAACATTGACAAGAAAAAGGACTCTTGATTCAATCAGATTTAAACTTAAATCAAAAGGAAATCCGCTCAAATTAAGAGGCCTGGTTCTTGATTTAAGCTTTAATCTGATTAAATCAAGAGTATTTTTTCTTGTCGATGTTTTTAAGAGTCTGGACTCTAGATCCAATGTGTCTTTTTTCAAGTGTGTAATGTTCAGTCTAGGATTCCTTTACAAGGGTTTTAAGCAAGCGAGTATTCGGGACGTACTCCTATAATTTTCCTTTTTCTATTCGATACTCAGCGTCAATTTCAAAGAGGTATCGTGTAAATCAGCGGAACTACAAAGGAACGAAAAAAGAAAAGAACAATTTACGCTGTTTGGATCCGTTCGTGGTGGGGCTCTAAAATACTGAGTCTCCAATTGCAGCTTTACCTATTAATTCATCCGACTTTCTACATGGTTCCAATCCCTAAGCCTCATACAATGTTCATGTCTCGGAAGGTTCACAACAGACTCGCAGGATCGAAAGCGAAGATCCCTCAATTTCTAAAGAATCGAACGAAATAAGAAGCTTTCTTCTTCGCCACGGTTTCTCTCCGAAACTGCTCCGTTTTGCAGGGCTTCGACATCCACGCATCCCAGGGTTCATTTAATATTATAATAACGGATCGGAACGGCTATTAACTGCGATTACTTATGCAGATTCCCACCCGCACCGGATCAGTTGGGGGGGGGGGGGGGGAGAACTGATCCCCCCCACCATAATTTCCCCCTTGGCGGGCTCCCTATCACGCCATTAAGTGCGGGCGATTGCTATTGTCCCGGCGTCGCATTGATTCGCACGTTCAATGCCGTGTGGCAGGTGAGGTGGATATTCTCACCGCTTGTTGGTTGGTATTAAGTCGAAGCAGGTGTTTCGATCAGAATCAAGCGCTATAGTGAAAAGAGACGAAATCAATCACGGAGAAATCCCTCAGACGCTCTCCATATATCGATGGACGAAGTCTGAAACCACGGAGTTCATAAAAATTAGAAATTGTTTTATTTTATACAGGAGACTTCTGGAGGCTGGTACACGTCATATTTACATTGTAAAGAAACATGATATTATTTACGTTGTACATAACTGAATTGGAAGTGAAGAAATAAGTGTAATGAAAAGTAATCATATCACGAAAGAGGTTTGATCCTATAACATTTTAGGGTACATTGGTAGATTTCTCTGTAAATTATTAAATTGTATGCCTGGGATAACTTAGAGTCTCTTTGAGAGTGATGCTAAATTTTTTCGATCCCTCATTTTTCAATAATCGCTTCATTGCGATGTTTCAATATGCCCCTCCTATTTTATTTATGCGAAGAAAAACAATGCAATTTAAGTAAGTCTTAAACTTTATGCAGATTATTCTGCGAAAAGAGCAGAGAAATCAAAGAAGTTTTCAAGAAAGCACGTTAGCTAGTTTTCCAAAGAAAAAATGAAGTATGACAGGAAGTCTGGAACGTCGCAAACGGAAATACGTGGTTTCGCTCTTTGACCATTGATATAAATCGCTTGGTTTAGCCACTCTCGGAGATGACTACTGAAAGGGACTTAAAATTACCATCATTCTCGAATTATTTCATAAGCTGCATTAGAAATTAATTATATATTATATCATATCATAAATAAAATTTGAAATAGAAACGGGAACTCGACAAATTTTTCTAATTCAATAGCTATTCGAGATCGGCACCATTCTTAACTCTGATTTTTCAATTTTAGGTACGAAAAAGTTGCGCGGAGATCGAGAGGAACGACTCAGGAGTTGGATCAGAAACAAGCCAGTGCTCTCGGAGTAAGTGGCAGCATTTATCTCCAGACACTTTTAGAGAGGACCAACAGCATATTTGCGAAGACTGCGATCAACCAGTTGAAACGCAAGTCTCAGACAGGTAAGAAATTCAACTTTGATTTTACCATTCGTCTCAAATTCAACAGTCAGTTTAATCTGAGCAGCATGCAATAATGCAAAATGGCAAGAACCACTGCTTGAAACCCACCTGCGTGATATACACCTTCGTTCGTCAAAGAATTTTCACTTTTTCTTATGTGAATGGGGTTGTTTTTGCGTATTTGTTTTATCATCAGAGTCAATATCCGACGTAAAATGCGCTCATTTAGAGGCATTTGGGATGCCTCGACGAAAGTTCCTTCAATTAGCCGGGTATGCAACAAACCTACTTCAAAGTTCGAATAGTGGTATCATCCAGTTTTATTTAAGAGGAATCAGGCATTCGCTTTCCCCATGTTCCAAGTTAAGTTTGTCCGGTCAAATAAGTGGATGCTTACTTAAAGTACTCGTAACATGTACCAAAATATCCGTTGGCAAATTCTTGTGTTGCATAGCAGTTTAATACATTTGGGAGGACGAGAGGAGAACCTCTTTTTTTCAGGAGGGATCTATTTAGTTTCAAAAAAAGTAGAACTGAATGGGTAAAAAGCAGAGGGCTTAATCGCATTTCAAAGTCACCTAACAACTTATTTTTTAATTAATTCACCTGCCACATTGAAAATTTCAGGAAAAGTTGGTCCTTCTTTATATAAATGGCAATTTATAGCGATTTAATCGCCATTAATCGCAATTTTTTATTCGATAATATCGCGATAAATTGCCACCGATAAAATCGCTATATTTCTCGATCATTGCACCTTGGGATGCTGGTATACTGCCGTGCTGAGGAAGAACGCCGTATGAACATTCGAGGGTTGCCGAATTTCGCCAGCTAAAATGTGTATTTTTGACAACATTCATGCATATTCCCTTGAAATTTTCAGATATTTTAGATTAAATTGCGTACAAAATTGTCTGAAATTTTGGGAAAATAATATGCACCATTTTCCCAGTAATTTCAGTTTTTATCGAAGGAAACTTTGCAACGTCTGAAGGCCCATACGGTGTTCTTCCTCAGCACGGCAGTGTATATGTGCAAATCAGATAGAGGGTTTATATCCCTTAAATATCCAGTGAAACTTATCAAAATATCAAACGAAACTTGGATTAATTATTACCATTCCAGATTTGTTGATTTCTGAACCCTTCCTAGAAATCAATGGCGATGATCGATGTTCAAAGAACTGAGTGTGTGGTGAATCGCTGTTTTTTTATCCGATTTCATCAGTAAATTGTACGGAATAACCCGCGCAAGAGCTTACTGTTTGAATAACCTCTTAAATTCTGCGAGCGCGAGCTCATTTATATGCAAATCGGACAAAACTCAGAAAGTAAGAGTACGGACGAGAGGAGAAACAAGTTTACGCGAGTTTGAGGTGAAATAATTACGCAGACGCTCAGGACGAGATTCTGCTGTCATAGGTCAAGTTTTATGTGACGACTTTTGCCCGTGAATCCGGACGGAACGGTCAAGAGCACGAATATTGTTTGCTTATCGATTTATTTTGAATTCGGTGCATCCGGTCATTTTGATGGTTTGTTTCTAGTCCCGAATAGTCGGGACCAGTGGCAATTGCTCATAAACCTGTCATCCAGCACCTTAAGTTGAATCTCCGGTTCGGAACGACAATAGCTGTTGGCAAGTCAGAAAGCCTTATCCACGTTTCGCCGAACCCATTCGTTTTTGTTTGAATAAAAGCCTAGCTTCCATATAACTACACGGAAAAAAATTCATTACTGATTTAACAATTTCGTTGTTAAAAAAAGCGACTGCTATGTTTCAAATGTACATTTTACAATAGTGAAAAGCTAATTTAATTACGGGGCTGGTTAAAAGTAGCTTCTTCTTGTTGTTACAGTGGCATTTTTTGTGGTAAAATCTACATTGAAACATCGCAGTCTCTTTTTTTAACTACAAAATTGTTACATCAGCATTTTAATTTTTTCGTGTATCACATATTTTCCTTTAATAGCTGAGAAGCAATATACCCACCCTGATAAAAATTGGCGATAAGAGCTGCGTTTCAAAATACCATAGGAATTTTTATAGCCGGCTATAGAATGCTACAGAAAATCGTATAGCTGGCTGTAGAATGAGGAGAAAATCATAGGGCCGGGCTATACGAAGCGATAAAAAATTATGCAGCCGGGCTGTAGTTCCTATCGCCGGGCTTTACACTTTATCGCCTGGCTGTTGCTTTTTCGCCATCGATTATAAAAGGCTGTAAGAAGTTGTGTAGAAATTCGTGTGCTTCGGAAATCATTAAGTTTGATACGGAACCACCTTAATATTTACCAAACACACATTATATTTTCCTTTAATACATTTTTTTTCATTAATTAAAATGAGAATAATCTATACAGGATGTGCAAACATTTCAAAATCATGAGTTGAATAACGTTGACTCCGCCAGATTAAATATTAGAGCCTAACACAAAGCGGAACGGCGACGCATTGGCGCCTACAAACCTAACAGGGATACTTCACGCATTGCGCAACGCGTGAAGTATTCCTGCTAGGTTTGTAGGCGCCAATGCGCGTATCGCGCTGGCTGCCGGCCAGCCGCGCCGCAGTGTGTCACAGCGCTTGAAGCAACTATTTCACACCAGCCAGAGGTATTTCACAGTATCATACGAGACTTAAGGCGCTCTAATATATTAGGAATGGCAGGCATCCATCAAAAGAACGGAGCTTTCCTCGCAAAATATACCTAGATACTACGGCTCAAAAAGAGAGCAGTAGTCCAAAAACCCACTAAGTCCTAGCTAGCATTCAATTTTCAGTCGCCATCGGCTATAAAAGGCTATAAGAAATTGTGTAGCCGGCTATAGAAGCTATTGGAAATCTTACAGCCGGCTATAGGTCTATGGTATTTTGGAACACAGATTCCACTGCCAATTTTTACCAGGGCATGGCTAAAATCGAAAAATGCACATTTTCGATTTTGACATTGTAAATCGCCGATGGTGTTTTATTATTTTCTGTTGAAGGTAATCAATTTTCCCATTTTTTTTCTTCGCTCCTCCTTTAAGATTTCATGTAATATTTTCAAATTCCAAGCCTATACTCACGAAATTTCGGAGCTTTTAATAAGGGTGATCTCAAGATGATGTTTTATTATTTTCTGTTTTAGTGAACCAATCTTTTCACACTCTTTTTTGACGAGAGAGTGCATGAAATTTTTAAATATTTTTATGAAATCTCGGAACGTTTTGAAATTTCACTGGCAATCTGAGGGTGATGTTTTATTATTCTCTGTTTAGGTGAACCAACTTTTCCACACTGTTTCCTCACGCGAAATTTCATAAAATTTTCAAATTCCGGGCTTCCATTTAAGAAATTTTGAACATCGTTAAAAGTCGCCAACAAATTTTTTAGGCGCCACGATGGCCCAGCCCCCCAATTTTTAGGCGCCAAGGCCCGATTTTTAAGTACATCTGGCGCATGGCGCCCGAGAACACTGAACCCTGGCTAGGGGTCTTATCTTACCCCCTATTTGAGTCCTCTAGAGGAGTAGGTACAGTTTGAGAGCTCCTTCTAAATTCGTCTTCAAACTGTGTGTGACTAGTTTCCTAACTCTCGGGATGTGTATGTTTCAGCGGTTTGATGTTCGCGCCTTTGGTGTGTCGGAAGTGCTCGAAGCGTCGGACGGAGCGTCGGGAGATCATCGCGGAGATCGTGGAGACGGAGGAGAAGTACGGGCGGGACCTGCACATCATCCTGGAGGAGTTCTACCGGCCGATGCTCGTGGCCGGCCTGCTCACCCCGGAGCAGCTCACCTTCATCTTCCTCAACGTGGAGGAGCTCCTGGAGAACAACGTTATCCTCGCCGAGAAGCTCCGCGACGCCCTGGAGATCGCCGTCGAGCAGGGCGACGAGGACCTCCTCACCGTCAACATCGGGCGCATCTTCCTCGAGACCACCTCCATGCTCCACGCCTTCGAGTCCTACTGCACCAAACAGGTATGCCCCCCTTCACGCATTAAGCATTTTCCAACCAAATGGCATTGGCGGATCCAGTAATTTGGCAACACCGAATTTCCTACACTTAAACCAATGGAAATGTATCGATTCATAGGGGGCCAGGTGCTCCGACAAGAATCGATTATTTAGCATGGGTTTAAATGGAGGAAATCCGGTGTTGCCAAATTGCTGGATCCGCCTCACTACATGCCTACTGTACTGCATTTTGCAATTGAGGCACTGGATGCGAAAAGGGCACTTCTCTGTTGCAGTGTTTCAAAGTCTCCTCTAGTATTTCATTTATTGTAGGGAAAGTGAATGCATCCATTTCACCAAAAATTTTACCGAATATTCCTTATGATTCTAAAATTTTCTATTGAAAGAACTCTGGAAAAATCGTTCATTAAATTCTTCTCCATGGTATTAATTAGCTACAGAGATTCTGAGACACCGCAATCGAGAAGTGCCCTTTTCGTATCCAGTGCCTCAATTTTGGAACCATAAATTCTGGCTCTTCTGGAAAAACACTTATGTGCACAGGGAAACTAATGGCACATATGTTGTTCTTAAACCGGGCCAGAATTTATAGTTCCAAATAGCAAAATGTAGTCCAAATGGACGTATTCATGCTAAAACAGGGCTTCTACAAGTCCGGAAATAGTACTGATTTTTCAAGGGCAGTGCAGAAGTAATGAAAAAGTGCGGAATTCCGCAAGAAGGTCCGGAATTTTTTCATTTTTTTGTCATTTTTGTCGCAATATGAGCTGGAAATTCTAATTGAAATTTGCTGAATTTCGTCAATTGGAGATACTGAAAAAGTACTTAATTTTTCTGTTGAGGAAGTACCTACTGAATTTCTCGGGAATGTACTGAAAAAGCACTGCAAAAGTACTGATTTTTGACCAGCCTGTTTTAGTACACATCCTGTGGACGTATTTATTCTAAAACAGGGTGTCTACAAGTCTGGAAATACTACTGATTCTTTAAGGGCGGTCGGGAAGTACCTACCGAAACAAATTGGAAGTTTTCTAACAATGCTTTCTTAAATTAAAAGTTTTCTAATAATTTTTTTCTCTGTTCAACATGCTAAAATCATTATAGATTGTGTTAGGTATAATTTTGCTTCATCGCCCTTTTCTCTTTTTTCAGGGAGCTGCAGCTATGATGCTGGCAAATCTAGAAAAAGAGAAGGAACTGTTGAGGATATTTCTTCGAGTCTCCCAGATGGAAAATAGTGTTTTGCGAAGAATGAACCTTAACTCATTTTTAATGGTAAGTGCCTCTCGTAAATGGACGAAAAAGTTAATTTAATTAGTCTAATATCACTTTGTAAATCGGAGTTTACAAGGGAGGCATATAATTTTTACGCCTATACTGTAATTTATTTGCAAAGGAAAGAGATTGGTAATAGGATGTACACAACCAATGCTAAGGGTGCTAATTCTTGGAGAATCAACATCAAAATCTGCATTTTAAAATTTCAGAAAATGCAAAAAATTATCAATATTACCTACTTTTCCTGAACCTGAGGAACAGTTCTTAAATTAGTTTCTCTTGTGGATTACTTAAGGGGTCTATGGAGCATTCATGGACCCTCCGAAGAATTATACATACTCTTCATCTTTATCAAACTTCAGGATCCACAATCCTGGCGTATTTTATTTGGACTGCTAATCACTCATCTGTTTCGACTGTTTCCTATGACCCGCATATGATAAATGTTTTTTTTTACCAAAGCAAAATTGTTTTCATTATTCGCCTACTTATGATCATAGTGATAATTTATCCATGTGATGACTATTTTATGTTTGCGTAATTATTTTAATAGAAAAACATTTGTCATGCTTAATCATGGTCTTCCTTAATTATTTTAGGTACCAGTGCAACGTGTAACAAAGTACCCATTATTGTTAGCACGTTTGTACAAAGTTACTCCCCCACATCATTCGGGTCGCGAATTACTGAAGGAGGCCCAGCACAAAATTGAATTACATTTGGAACACATGAACTCGGTATGTTCTCAATTTTGCGCATATTGTGTCGAAGATATTTTTTTAGTACATCAATTATAAAAATAAAGCAATCAAAAGTCACACAGTATGACTTACTTAAAAATGTATGTAGATATGTATGTTACTTATTACTTATTTTTCATGTTTTTCATGATATGGCGTTAGAATGGACTCACTTGATCCTTTCCCTTTTTTTAAATTTTTTAGGAGGGAAATTATAGCTAAGTTTTTTTACTTGTTGTCACGTAATATTCAGCTAGCTTCCGTTTTCGACCTATCTTTTTACCGTGTAAAACATACAATCTTTCCCATTAATTTTTCAAGAGTCCTGTAAATACAACAACTATTTTTTGTGCTTTTAAGTTGATGCAATTGATGAGAATGCTGCTTTTTTTAATAAAATTAACTACAGAGGCATCAGCTCTGTGGAAATGCAGTGTTGATTAGTCAAATCAAACATAGGCGCATATGCATAACCCATCTCATAAACGTAAGGAACTTATTATTGTTAGCCTCAATTTTTCAATTTGCTCCCATGCGAATTATGCAATAGTAAGATACTTTATATTGAGCTGTAGCATTTATTGATTTTATGCTGTCTTATAATTGCAGTTAGCCAAAGATATTGGCTCAACGAAGCTCTGGAGAAGGATATCTATCATCAATGGTAGACGCTCCAATAGCGAAACTGACATGATCACCATTAAACTTCGAAAAGTGAGTCTTCTTAACAATTTCCATCCATCCTGAGCTTTACTTTAACGCTGGCTTGAGTATATTAACAGTGCGATTTTAAATACATGTGGCACTAATCCCTATCAGTTTTTTCCTTAATCAAGTGCAATTCATCTGAGAAAAAATTTATAATTTTCATTTGATTTTTCGTTGTTGTTGAGCTAATACTGCTTCAGTCAATGTCATTTGTGTCGTTCTTTCTTTAAATAAAGACAGTTTTAATAGGGAGTCAGATGGCACCACTCTGGGCTGCATACAAATGGAGGGCTGTATTATAGAAATAGTCAGCAGTTAAAGGTGGTAATTTTATCCGCCTTGACTCAGCATTTTTCATACTTTGTTTGGTTTTATTGTCTAATCAGTAGTTGCACCAGATATATTCCCCATTGAATGTTAACAATAATTCGAGATAACTCATTGGACTCTAATCATGACTTGACTTTATTGCTTATCCCAATGGAATGAAAAACAAAAGCATCGGTAATTAACCCGAAAATTCATTTTTTTACAGATTGCTGTAGATGTTCTAGACTGGGCCCATGAAGATGTACGATTTGCCATTGAGGGACGACTGCTTTTTACTCAGCCCACCGACCACAACTGGCGAAAAGGGCGAACAATAAAACTAACTCCAATCAATGCCATGGTTGTAACTTTAGGAAAGGTAAGTCTGTGAATGAGACGTCTCGAATCTTGGGTTTTCACTCCTAAAATTCAAGCTAAGCAGTGCTGAGAAGTAAAAATCAAAAACTAAAGATGATACTGCATTCATTTTACAGAAGGGCTTCATCGTTAAAAAATAGCGTGAACAAATCTGACTTAGAGTCTTCTGGATTTTATTAATACATACATACATATCAAGAAGCTACCTTAGCGCACTAGAGCGCTCTGCGACTCCAAATCGCCATCGGATTTTATTAATCAATCCATTATTAATCGATCAATGAATCACAAACAGTGGATGCACTAGAAATAGTGATGATTATCATTGAAACAATTTTTTTTATATATGTATACGTTTCACTGTTTTTTTTTTCTTTTTTTTTTCAAAAATTTGAACGATGGACCCAATCATATAACGAAGTTTCCTTCCTAAGTTTCTCATTCCTTTTACTTCATAATATTCGATAATTTTTCATCATTCAAATTTTGTTCCAGCCGACTGAAAATTACCATCCAGAATCCGAAGAAATCCTCACATTCCCACGAAATCATGGCATGAAAGAGGCAACCTTGTTGTTGCTCAAGGAAAAAAGTGGAAGATTTGCTTTGCTCAGGGTGAGTGCGTAGGATATTAGAACTGCTACTAAGAATCAACAAATTTTTTGATATTACTGAAACTATCAATAAAACTGTGCATACATTTTACTTTTCTGCCAGAATAGGGGCGTTTTTGATGTGCACAGTTTTGAACTGTTTTGCATGTACCGATACATGGTATAATCCTCCATTGAGTTCCAATACGGGGGTTACTGAGTGACAATTCTTTAATCTAGTATGTGTCGTGCACCTGGCTCTCAGAGACTTTGTTGGCCTTCTGAATGTTATGACTGCCAGCTTATTTATATGTCAGCTTTGTTGCTTTCGATCTTCCATGAAATGAATCACCATCAACGATTACCAAGAAAACTCTGGGTTCAGAGTTAGATAGAAGTTCTCAGTAGAAAAAGAAGGCTGCCAAAATAAAATAAATTTGAAAAAAAAATAGTTCATATTTTAACTGTTTTGAGTTTAAAGTACAGGCATACCTAATTGTTCAAAAATGTGTAGTATCAATCTGTCTTTGATATCAAAAAGTCCTATACGTACATTAAAAATCGCATGGGAAGAGCAGAAAAAAAAATGCTTGTTATCAAAAAATCACTGCCGAGAATAAAAAAATCGGCCTCATTGATATGCCAAAAAGGTGAAGCATTAGATAATTGCAGGACGGCAAATTAGGGTATCAGTATATTTCCTTATCTCAAGAAAGACTTCGATATACTTATGTGCTGTATTTTCCACAGGAGCCGCTATTCTTGGATCGTTGTATTGTGTGTACTGACAGCGAATGGGAAGAATATTTTGAGGTTCAAGAATTAGTGACTAAGGACACCTACATATTTAAGGTAAGAATTCATACTAGGATTGAGGATAACTATTGGGGAAAGGGTCTAGAGAAAGAATTTAACCCTCTAATAATCGGACAATCATTCAAAAAGAAGAGAAAAATAGGAATCGTAAATGCGGGTCCATTCAGTATGTTCATCATATAGTTTTTAAGTGGTCAGTTCCTCAAGAAGCAAGGCTCATTCCATTTTAAGCTAATAGAGTTTCTCTTTTATTGCTAAACAGTTATAAATTTATTGTGGAACTAAAAACCCTGTACCTTGATCACAGTTTTTCAAATTTCCAGCATAAACAAGCGAAAAGAACAGGGTTATTAGGGTAATTTGGTCAAGTATGGCTAGCTCCTAAGAGCTAGGGAGTCCCTTTAACTGTAATTGCTGTGGCTGCTTGTTTATTTAGATGCAAGTTTTGTTGCTTTTGGCTCTTCATAATATGATTTTTGGTAAGATTTAATAAGACATGGATGTTCAAATAAACAAAAAATCGAAAATTCCACTAGTAAAAAGGTTCTCATTGAAATGAAATTTAATTAGAAGTTGGCAGTGTCATTGACTAAAATACAGTCGCCCATCTTTGCACATAAAACAAATGATCCTTACGTTAACTTGTGGTGCAGAAGAGATAGATTTGACGCCATAGATTTTGTTGGGAACTCTCAGAAGCATTTGATAGGGAAAAGGCAACAGAGTATCATCCAAATGAAATTATTTTCTGAAGTCCAATATTCTTTATCCATTTTTGGATTGTTTTATTCTTTTTTATAAAGAAGGAAAGTAACCATCTTGGGGTTGAATACCTGCTTCCAGCATTCCATATGTAGAGGTACTCATACTTGTATTTGAACGTAAAGTAAAAAACACTAGAAGGGAAAAGAGGACAAAATCTATTCATTTCCCTATGTCATCTCATGAAAAATAGCAAAAATAATTACATGCTACATCTTTTTTTCAGGCTGAAGATAGTGAAAAAACAAAATTATGGTACAGACAAGTTCAATATCACGCTCAAGGATTAGGGCAATGGAGAAAAAGGCGGAATGCCTTGGCGAATATTATGATCAATGGAATGCAGCTACGATCGTAATCACATTGTCCAGTAATCCATCGTGTGAACCGGCTTTTTTTACACATAAAACGACCAACTATTGAAAAAAGATGTGGAATACATATTCCAACATATGTCAGCTAGTGTCCAGTATTGAAATTGACCACTTTAGCTCCCTCTTTCTTTTGAAAAGACATTTCGATGTAATAGTTTATTTATTTTTCAATTTTTCTTTCTCTTCTTAGTCAACAAAACGGTATCATCTATTTTTGGCAGAAATTCTCTGCACTGGATATGTAAATTTTCTGGGAGTGGTATCGCACACAAATGTGCACTTTTACTTAGAAGAAAAAGTTTTAAGATGGCCGACTTTTACCCAGGGCCGGATTTACCAATAGGCTACATAGGCTATAGCCTAGGGCGCAACATTTTGAGGGGCGCATAATTTTTGAGAATTTATTCAAAACCCTGGTAAAAATTGGAGATAAGCGCTGCGTTCCAAAATACCATAGGAATTCTTATAGCCGGCTAAAGAAGGCAACAGAAAATCATATATCTGGCTGTAGAATGCGGAGAAACTCATACGGCCGGGCTATACGAAGCGATAAAAATTATACAGGCGGGCTATAGTTCCTATAGTCGGGCTTTACACTTTATCGCCTGGCTGTTGCTTTTTCGCCATCGATTATAAGAGGCTATAAGAAATTGTGTAGAAATTCGTGTGCTTTGTAAATCCTTAAGTTTGTACGGAATCACCTTAATATTCACAAAACACACATTATATTTTCCTTTAATACATATTTTTTTTCATCAATTAAAATGAGAATAATCCATACAGAGTGTGCAAACATTTCAAAGTTATGAGTTGAAAAACGCTGACTCCACGAGCTTAAATATTAGAGCCTAACACAAAGCGGAGTGGCGGCGCACTGGCGCCTTCAAACCTAACATGGATACTTCACGCATTGCGCAATGCGTGAAGTTTCCCTGTTAGGTTTGAAGGCGCCAATGCGCGTTTCGCGCTGGCTGCCCGCCCGCCGCGCCGCGCCGCAGCGTACCACGGCGCTTGAAGCAACTATTTCACACCAGAGGTATTGAACAGTATCATACAAAATTGCAGGCGCTCCAACATGTTAGGAATGGCAGGCATCCATCAAAAGTACGGAGCTTTCCTCGTAAAATAAATCAAGATACTACGGCCCAAAAAGAGAGCGGTAGTCCAAAAATTCACTAAGTCCTAGCATCCGTAATTAGTAACGTTTAGCATACACTTTATCGCCAGGCTGTCGCTTAGTCGCCATCGGCTATAAAAGGCTATAAGAAATTGTGTAGCCGGATATAGAAGCTATTGGAAATCTTACAGCCGGCCGTAAGTCTATGGTATTTTGGGACACAGATTCTACAAATTGTGGTTGACAAAGGTGTTTTTTTAAAGGTGAATTTGAACATTTTCCGGACTCCTAACATCCTTCTTCTGATCTGGAGGGGAGGGACGTCTGGGGGACCACCCCCCCCCCCGCCCCCCACGAGAGCGCCTACTTTTAGGGGCGCCACCTTAGGTTTAGCCTAGGGCGCTAAAAATGTAAATCCGGCCCTGCTTTTACCCCATGTAGTAATTGGCTAATGAAGTAATGTTGTTTCCTCCACACAAGAATGAAACTAATGGCAGTTAATGAATGTCTTTACAAGTGATAGAGGATTCTTTAAGGTAAAGAAATTGGGCCTCGAGAGTTCATGGAAAGTGCAATATTTTTTTTTTTTAATTTTGATTATTTGGTACCAACTTATTTAGGTATCAATTTCATTCAGCAATACAGTTTTATAATCATTTTTATTACCGTTAAAAGCAGGCTTTTTTCATGTTTGAAAAATGTTGTGAGTGATTCCACAACAGAGCCTATGTACTTGGACGAAAAATTACATCAAAAAGGAATGTTTAGAAACCTCATTCGAATGATGGATAGAGAAGTAAAGTTGTGATTAAAACCATAGGAGAAAAAAATTACAGAGATTTATAAGTGTTGAAACTTAAATAGGATTAAAACTAGCCTACAAATTTCTCTGGTGAGGATGTCTGACTTGATAAATAAATTAGAGACTGTACTCGTTTTTTTTTCCTTTTAATAAAAAATGATAAAGCATGTAAATGTATAAATATGTTCCTGATTGAATTTAACAATGTATATATTATAATGAATTTAATTTTAGCCATAAATAAATGACTTTTTGCAAAATAATGGTCAATCTTGCTTAATTTCATAGCTGATCCTTCCATATAATATTAATACTAGCTTACATTTTTTTAAAAAACATTTAGCTCAATTTGTGCTTTTGATTATGAATGAATGCGACCAACCACTGGAACAAGATCTTAGTTCTAGGTGACGATTTTTTGGAGAAAATGATTTTCATGAGGTTGCGTCAAAAAATCAGTATATGATTGAATTTTCGATGATAGTTTCTCTGGTGTATCCTGAAGAAGTTTTGATCAGGCTAGTCAATGTTAGTGCCCAAAAAATTTGGATTAACATTTTACTTAGTTGATGTTCAACTTTGCACAAGATTGAGCAAAATGTTACTGTACTTTTCCACAGCATGTTTTTTGAGCTCTAAATTTCAAAAGGCCACACTATTTGGACTTTTTATACTACATTTTTGTAAAACATTCCTCTATGCAATGGCAAAAATATTTTGTATTTTGTGGTACTTCAGCCCAGTCACACACACACACGCCAAAAAAAAAAAAATAAATAAAAAAAAAATAAAAAATTGTTTGCTCAACTACAAACGGCACTCTTTTAAGCCTGTTTCAAAATAAGGCACCTTCATAGCAGAAACTGCTAAATTCATCATCCCCTGACAAAGGAACGTATCTCAATAGCGCTGATTCATACGATTTCATACGAACATTTTATTTTTTCACAAAAGAACTGTCATGCGGATTATTGGCTTGAAATTTCCAGGGATTTTTCTTTACTTTTATGAGAAAAGACTCGAATGTTTCTTGACATATTCATGCTCTCATGAAAAAATAAAATGTCTACAGAAATCAGTGCTAAAACAGATCAACTGAGATAAGTTCCTTCAAGCAGAAGGAGCGAATTGAGTGCTTACAGAATTGACTTAGGTTACGCAAGTACTATCAGTAGCAAATAACACATATTACATGATGCTTTAATCTTTTAAGGAATGTCACTGAAAATTGGGTTCATGGCAAAATATTAGCTTTAATTATAGTAATTGTCTGACTCTCAATATATCACAGAAAAGTCTTGAAACATACAAAAATAAACAGTTCAAAAATAAAAAATTAAAAGCAGAAAAAATTGAAAGCACCTGAAAGTTGACTCACTGCTTCGATGTGCGAGAATTTTCTAGTTTCACACCCATGGAACCAAGAAGTGTACTCGTGGGACCAGGCTCTCCAATTTGTTCCTCATATGATTTCATCAGATTCTTCAGAGCATTCATGTCAACATTAACAGGCTTGAAATTTTCGATGTCAGAGAAACTGTCATCTTCCGTGTGCTGGAACAATTGAGAAATTTGATGGAATTTCAAACGATACATTACAATTCAGTATACAAGTTAAGTAAAATTGTCTCTCTGACAAGGATTCAACCTAAAAACTTGGGAGACAATGGAACTTTGAATCCCTTGAGTTGAAATCTCGTTAAAAATCTACGCAAAAGCATTAAAGGAAGCTACAAATTGTCAGGAAAATCACATAATGATCTGAAGGTTAATTCAGAAAGTTCTATTTAGGAGAGTTTCAAAGAGTGCAATGGATGTCTCAAAAACTAGTATATTTATGCTACAACTTCAAACTTAATGCATAAAATTAAAATGTGTGAGAGGTTTCTTATTGATTATTCTATTGCACTGAAGTTAATTAAAGTAAGTTCATTTCAACGTTCAGGGAATACGCTCGGGGTGGCCCCGCCATTAAAAAAATGAGTCAAATATTCTGTGCTAGATTAAACCAAACTTGATACCTACATTATACAGATGGAAGAGGAGAAATATGAAAAGAATATAGTGTAGCTGTGATGAGATACTGAAAATGACATATGAAACAAAATCTTACCTCCTTCTCCGCAACTTTATCAAAGCTTTGACCGATAGTCGTTGATGCAAGTTCTTTATCCATCTGATCCATATACTGCTTCAACTCAGATACAGACATGCTTGGCTTGATGGCAGATTTTTCTATTAGGTCCATCTCATCTTCATAGGAGCTCATTCCGGAACTATCTGACTCAAGGTCCCAATCATCCTCCGGCACGACCAGATCAAGAACATTTTTCAACTCGCACGCAAAAGCCTCTTGATCAAATTGAATCTGACTTTGAAACATGTCTGTCTCCAAATCTGATTTCAAACTTTTTGCACTATTCATGGCAGACTGAGATGAGGCCTTGTTTTTCCTAGGAGGCCTTTTTGGTGCTTCCACTTCAGAACTACATTCTGTTTCATTTTTCTTCCTACAATTGAAAAAGAGCAGAGAACTTTAAAATTTGATTTTGAAATAGATTTACAGAAAACGGCCCATGCTGTTATAATATAAATCTTAAAGACATGGCAATAAAAATTCCAAAAATGGAATCTTTAGTGCTTCCTGGCAACTTCAAAATATTTTTACTTTAACTAGGCAGCAATAGTATATTTTAAAACTGAACCATAAAAAAAGGTCCTCTCTCCATGCTGCTTTCATGTGTATCGCATACTTTAACGATGAACCACAGGTGAAAGGTAATGAACAGAATGTGCATGCCAAACTTTGATAAAAATTAATACTTGTTGCTATTTTTTTTAATGGCAGGCTAACAATCTCTTTATCAATTTATTCAATCATTCAGGATTAAGATGCAGAATGAGTCACAAATTGAACTTACGGTTCTTCTTCTTCTTCAACACCATCAAGATCAGACTGCCGATTGAAAAACGCCATGAGTTTGGAGGTGATTTGTTGAGGATCATCGGTTACATTCACAACTTTATCCTTGAAACCAAACCGAGCAGCCAAGATGGAATCTAACTCCTCAGGGGATATGTTCATCCAAGAATCGTCTAGAATCGAACAAAATTTAATATACTCAATGCAAACAATTGAGTTTTTTTGTACAGCCTTGGTCAAAACAAATTATTAATTAAAAAGTTGGAGTAAGTTTTATTCAAAAGAAACGTGAGTCCCGAATAGTAAACAGGAGTAAAAAATTATTACCGATATACGTACACTCTCAAGAAACGGTATATTTATATTGCAAACGTATCGTCATTTTCCGGACAAGGAACATAACTACATTCCAACAATGCAAACTTACATTTCACAAATTATATTTTTAAAAAACAACTTTTGAGCATTTTTAACTAAAAATTTCCCTGTTTTTCATCCGATCACGCATGAAATCAGCACAATTTTGGTCAGACGTTGCACGGTCATGTTCTCATAAAAAAATTGAATTTATTGTAGAAAACTGAAGTATAGTAGCAGAAAGAGACAATTAAAATAGTTACCATCAGGAGGTGGTAAATTCTTTTCTTCTTTTCTCATTTTTTCTTCATCTATTTGCAGTGTACCAAGGAGATCCAAGATTCGTTTACCGGTGACCGGCTGAGATCGATTTTCCATTTCTAAGTAGTGATCCTGAGCTGTGTGCTCGAGCAAACTGTACTCTTTTGAGCCTTCCAATAATTCCTATTGGGTACAAATAAATGTTTCAGTCCAAATATTTTTTCCAAAATCCAGTAAATAAAAGTGTGAGAATGAAGATGTTCATGACATTAGTTCTCTATGGCATAGCGTTACGAATTCGTAACAACGTATTTTTGGTGTTTTTAAAAATGGAATCTTTTCTTTGAGGAATAATTTTGCAAATTTTCATTAGATTTTCCTTTTTTTGAATAACTGGTTCCGCAAACTTTAAAATTTTGAAAAACAATTTGGTGCTTCATGTTTTTATGCAAGCTTCAAAATAGTTTAGTGTCCCCCAGAATCTGAGGTCCAAAACTAATTCATGCCATAGAGGGTTAAGAGATAAAAAGAAAAAAATCTGCAATGGGTGCAGTTTAAAAGAAGATGGGGACCTCCACAGACTCCCAGCGGTGAAAAGCACGTATCTTCCTCCCGAACCTACCTTGGGAGGTGCAAAAATTTTCCGATAGGCTGAGTCCGTTTGATAAACTGCTTAACCCCCATTCTTACACAAGCTTCCAAAGTCTGTCTTTCATGAATGGCCAGCAGGAGGCCCGGATGGCAAGAGGACCAGTTAAGAGGTACATTACACATCTAGAAAATTTTTTGGGACTTTTCCAAAGCGAAAATTTTTTTGCAGGGAAAAAAAACGATAAATTAAAAAAATTGATGCAGGAAAGCACTCACCTTAAAATACCCATTTTTTATTAAACTTTGCTTGTATGTATGCCATCCTTTGTCGGTTTCCAAGTCTTCTTTAGACGCTGATGTTACTTTCACTTGAGATGCAAGTATCTCAAACCCACAAGCAATTTTGACTCCCAACATGTGAGACTTGAATGCGGGATCTGTAGGTGGAGGTAAACGCCAGCCGGCTCTTTTATCTGGCATATAATTTTGTTGAGAGATCATGGCGTAGAGGCATTTTGTAAACTTAACACTGCGCAGCACAGAGGGTTGAGGAGGAAACTTCTTCATTATGCGGCATACCTGAAATCACATGTACATAAATAAATTACTGAAAAACTGAAATAAAAAACCTTGTGAAAGACTGATCAAGCATGAAAATGCTAAAGGTATGATTTTGGAGGTCGATATAATAAAAAAAAAAAGAATTGCTGTATTCACAAATGAGAGGAACACTCTTTCATACTTATTTTAATGGAGAAAAGAACATAGAAATTACAGGAACAATTTTCTTAAAATGTGATAAACTTTGGAAGGGTGATAAGTTTGGAGAAAAAAAACTCAGTCTTGTAATTGCAGTTATTGGTTTTTTTTCTTTCTTTCTTTTTTCATAACTACTTGAACAATAAATAGCAACTGAAGTGCTCGACTAATTTTCTGGAAGATATTCAGAAGTACAAACCTTGACATCAATGGGATCTCGGTGACAGAAAGCAAGAACAGCGGATGATATTAGACTAGGACTAGCTTCTAATAATGCAGCAACAGAGACTGGTAAAAACGCATGAGCTTTGTGAAAAAGACTAGCCATTTTTTCAGGATAGCTGAAACGAGATGACCACATGACAAATTAAATTCCATACCTATCTTAGACAGCTATGATAAAAGCAAATCAAGAATACAGCTAGAAAGCAGCCAACCTTGCTGAGAAAGCTTTTCTGGTCATTTTTCCCTTCAAAAAAGTATTGACTCTGTAATTTTAACCAAACGGAAGAATATACTACGAGTGTAAACTCAGGGAAAAATCTAAGCTTTTAAAAGCATTCTGAAAGATAATAAACACTGATGAATCAAATTCTGAGTCCTCTGGGGTTAATTTATATTTTGTAGTCATTTTTCTAAAATTAAACAGTGTGTTTAATTTCCTGACCATGATGTATCATTGCGATTTATGTTCATTGTAAAATACATTTGTGAAAATATAATTTCTTAAAAAAGCCTTTGTTTATTGACTTTCTCTTGGTAGTTCAAGCTTGTACCAAAGCCAAGGCCAGAAACCAGTGTAACTTGGTCGGCTTCCGTTCAAATTACCTCATTTTGACCTTTATTAATAGGCTTTTTTTTTTACCTTTATTTGACTTAAAAATATAGGATCAAGCTTAATTTTAAATTATTGCAATTAATCTGCTTATTTTTAAGACACCTACCTACTGTGATGTTTGTTAGCTCAATATTATTTGTTGAAGGATTTCAAGAAGATAACATTGGAAATAGTGTATTTCCTTCGGAAAATACACTAAAAATAAAAAAAAAGGCAAGAAAACCCTAAAAATGAATCCCAAGTAAACCTGGAAAAACATACCCATGTATTCTTTTACGAATACAATCCTGCACCGATTGACTAGCTCTGGTCCACTCAGGATGGTTTCTAATTTGCTCATGAAAATCAACCGATGCTGGAGTTTTGTCATTTTCAGGAGGCACAAGATGAATTTCGCCTTGAAAGATAAAAACTCGCCCTTCACATTTTTCAGGCACCGCCCAACGAGGTAGATAATCAGCTGATTCAATAAGTAAAAATTCACCATCAACGTCAGCAACTCTGCAATGGAATAAATACAATGAAAGTCAAATGACCGTACACTCACTTTTAAAGAGTTGATGGGCAAAACATGACAGAAAAGGAGAGATAATAGTGATATTTTGGATTGAACATATAGATTAAGAGTTTTTTTGCAGAAACTTAAAAGTCCTATAAGGTGCTTCTGCTAGAAAGCATATCCAAAGTGTAACTACAAAGCGCACATCTTGGTCTGCAATGCTGCAGAACTGTATACAAACATACTTAACATTGTTGCTTGAAAATTGTACCAAGTTTTCTTTTCCATTGGAAAAAATATTCTTTGAAAATGTCTGTCACTAGTGCTGGTGGTTCAGTCTCATTTGATGACATAAAAATGAAGCACAGATTATGAAACACCACATACCGAGATATGCGTTTTTGCAGTCTCAATGTTGATATTTGGATTAGGTAATGATGATCTGATGTTCCCAATGATATAAAATAAGTTTGACAGGTTCCGCAAGCGGAAAAAAATCAGACTAGTTTAGCAGAAAGTGATGTAACTTCTAAAAAGACAATGAAGGAGACTGAGAGAGGAAAAGGATGCTTTAAACAAATAAGTAGAAGAGAGATTTATTGTTGGATGTTCTTTGTTCCATCGGTAAACTTGTGCTGTTTCACAAAATGGAAACAACAATGCAAATCTGTTTTCTGCCATAACTATCATAAAATCTGTTTCCTGCAATAACTATCGTAAAACCGGTTTTCTGCAATACTTAACTATCATAAAATCTGTTCATCTGGCCAAAAAATGAGGATTTGGTTGCTGGTTAATGCTTTAAAAAAACTTCAGAAAACATACCTTGCTACTAATCCAGGCATATTTTCAGTTAGCCGCATAAGTAGGAAGACTATGAACCATTCATCCTCAATATTATCTCCATAGTGCGTTATGCCATACAAATGGGCAGGAAGCTCTGAAAATTGAAAATTGAATTTTTTAAAGAAAATGTGCTTGGAATTAAAATTTTAAAAAAATCATAAGTTTAAAAAAATATTCAATTCTAATGCATGAAATATGTTCCAATTTCCAAGCTACCAACTTGCACAGCAGCAACAAAAATCAGGGTTTTACACATTGTTTAGGCATGGTGTTCGAAGAAACTTCTGACTGGTAGCGCATTTTATGGGCGTCCAATTGAATTAGAAAATTAGTTGGTAGAACCAGTTGGCTTCTCCTACCTTCATGCGTGGCAACAATGCTGTGTGTCCAGTGTTTGAAACTCATCTTAGAGTTTTAGGAGCCATTTGTTCAATCAAGCTCAATTTTTAGAGGCCGTTGAAGATTTGTTAAGGGCCAAATTAACTGTTCGCCAATAAATCAAGGCGCATTTTGTGGAAAGTGTGAAAGATGTTTTAGTTACAGAACTACTTAGTAGCTGAAACTTGTAACTTTTGAAAAATCACCAAACAGAAAAATTAGGATTTTTTTTAGGCGCATTTGGCGCCTGTGAGTTTCGAACACTGTGTGTGTTCTAATTGCTCATATGAAAATGTCAAAATATTTTATAGGGGACAAAGATTTATTGATACACATTTCATGATCAGATGGTGATACCACACAATTTAAGTGGCTTCAGTAAGGAGAGCTAGAGTTGATTCATTAAGTAATAGTTTTAACGCTTTTTCTAGGGTTCTGCACTGCAGAGAATCACCACATTATCCAGTACAACCAGTTTGATAAATTCCCAGGGTGGTTTTTAACCGGTTTCATGCAATCCTAATCTCAAGCGGAACCACTTGAAACTTCAGATATCCCAATTTATTGCGCTTTATGCCTTCATTGGATGAAAAAAAGCTGTATTATGGATAGCTTGTCTAAAGTCAGCAGCCTAAGTGTATGTTGCCTCTACTTGATACAGCTCTTCGACTCCCTGCAGCGACCTTCTTGACAATTATTTGGCACCTAGCTGAGTAAAGAAAATCAGTACTTCCGAATTGATTCGTGATCAATTTCTGTATAGCTGTTTACCTGTGTTTCCTTCCAACGATGGAAGGGCAGATCTGAACTTGGAAGGGCGAAGGTTCAATTTGAATTCATCTTTGTGCCAAATATAAGGCTCAACCAAAGGATTCACAATTTTTGAAATTTGATCAATGACATGATGTAAGGAATTGAGTTCCGATTCTGATGAGTTGTTCTCAATTAATGGAAACAGGAAATACTCCACAAAGTCTTCCTCACGAGCACACTCTAGAGCACTTGCCATTTTAATCCTTAAGGTTCTTCTCTTTTATTCTAACACACGAAATTTACCATCTCAGCACAAAATGATCATAATCAGCTCTCTTAACTTAGGAATTTACACTTGCTGCACTCAGAATAAAATAAAAACCAATTACTTATTTCTCGTTTGGTGTCGTAATTCCATGTGTTTACTATTGACAATCACATAACCTAAACATCTTTTGGTTGTCGTTTGCAGTATTGCCAATTTTAATAAACACCTGTTTTTTACTTATTTTCTCAATTATTCCTCTTTTCGAACAAAAGGAATTTTAACGGCAAATTCTGAACCAGAGTCTTTGATTGGTACAGAGCGGTTCATTCCATTTATTCCGCGTTGAACCATAACGAGCGGGAATTTCAAATAATTCCGGATATCCTGTTACCACATAGTTTCCGTTTCCGGCGAAACAGTGTTGCCAGTTTTATCGATGTTCGTTGGGTGAAACTGGCAACACTGTTTTAGCGGAAACGGAAACCACACAATAACAGGATATCCGGAATTATTGGAAATTCCCGCTCATTTTGGTTCAACGCGGAATAAATGGAATGAACCGTTCTGGACCAATCAAAGCCTCTGGTTCAGAATTTGCCGTTAAAATTCCTTTTGTTCGAAAAAAGGAATAATTGGGAAAATGTAGCAATTTCAACCACAGACTAGTTCACATCTAGTTCACATTTGGTCCAGATCGCTAGCATCGCCGAAAGAGCATGAGTAGTTTTGAGAGCGCCATTGGCGGGAAAATCCGTGGACGTTTAAAACTAGAAACCACTGCCTTTAAAACTGCATGCTTTTACGAGAAATTGTGGGATTTACCAATCAAAGACGCTGTTTCCGATACATTTCAAATTCTGAGTACCTATTTAAATTGATTGATTGAGCAGCCTGTGCCTTCACTCCTGCAGGTCAATTATTATAATGATATACCTAGACTCACTATATCGCAGCTTAGTTGTGTGACACGATCGACTAAAAGTGAAGTGTATTTCCTGGTGAAGAGTTGTACTGCACTGCGGTGTGTAATTAATTCAAAAAATTATTTGGTTCATGACCTGGTATGTGACAAGCATGCAATTTACATCATCTTCGATATGTGGCTTACTTTTGATAGCACTGAGAGAGTGCATCAATCTAAGCTTTAATGAGTGCCTCTCATAGATCCTGTCATGTCTCTGTTTCCGCTTGTAGTACACCTTACCTTCCCCTCTGAGGCCCGAATCACACAGTTCAATTTTTCATCCAACTTTTCCTCCAATTCTATTGAATGGAAATTTTTTCTATCTAAGTTACACACACAAAAAAAGTAAAAAAAGTAAAAATTTTCATTAAATAAAGTCTAGAGAGAAGCTGAATGAAGAGTTGAACCATGTGAATTGGGCTGAACCCTCTGAAATAGCATCGACTTTGTTTTTTTAATAGATCGGATTTAAAGCGATTTTACTGAACAGATGTATACTCTTAGTTACATTTCAAGGTCAATTAACTTCTTCTGATTATTCTTCTGACAATTTTTTATGTTAAAACTTGTAATTTTATACTCTTCTTTTGTTTATATGGTATTTTACTAGATATAATAATTCCCTGATGAGAGGAATTTCTTTATGATTTTGCAACCGCTGGGAAAAAATAATTCGATAAATAAAGCAAATACCTCTAAAATTAATATTTCTGAAATAGTGCTTCCTTATCCTTAAGCCAGAATACTTCTTGACCTAGTGTAATGAAACTAGGATCTGATGACGTTACCGCACAACTTAATAAAAAATGCAAGTGGTCAGATTAATATGTTCTACTTTCATCATACTGGGCTGATAAATTTCATATACTTAAATGGGATTTAGGATTGAAAATAAAGTTAAATTATTTATTTACAAGAAGCTCCCATTTAATAGTAAAAGGTAACAGTCTAATTCTATGAGTAGCTAAGTAAAATACATGATTGAATTACAGTATAAAAAGGATTATAAAATAACTGATTAATTTTGAGACATCTACTCCACAATATTTTTATTTTTTTACAGACTTGCTTAATTCATAGGATACATAAGACACTTTAGTGTTTGGTGTAATTTCAGAATGTTAAAATTTTCACTTCACTAACTTTTTATTCTCAATTCTATTACGAGGCATCAAAACTATGTTCAATACTTACAAATGAATGGTTCATATCAGATAAATCTGATCCCCTATGAGGAGCAGTAGCTAAATGGCCGAACTCGAAACATCAAGATTGAAACTGTAAGTTTACGATACTAATAATTTTACACCAAAACAGTATTCAAATTACATAACTAATCAAAGCTATTGGGTATTCAAGGATGATATACTTTCGCATATTTCGGATTCGGCTTTTCAATGAAATGTAGTGCGAATATTATTGCTACAAAGAAATGAACGAATCAACATTTTTGGAAACTTGGAATAGAAAAAAGAATAAGCAATTTTTCTATATTTTACGATTAAAGCGTTCTAATTTTCAAGCTGCTTGAGAAAGATTAAGAGGACTGCGATACAGAATTATTAACAATATAATGCAAAAAAATCTTATTTCTTACAAAATAATTTTGATCTGAAAAAGTTCTGCAGACTACAAGACAGGAGTCTTTAATTCCTTGATTTTACAGGGGAGAAAAGATAAAGCTACAATTCATCAAATTCATTTTCTCATTTTTTATTTTTAAAAAAAAATCGTTTTTTATGGAGAATTGACATTATGATTAAGTTTACATTTCTCAATTCCGATGGCATATATTCCATAAACTTACGCGACAACTATCAGAAGTGTCTCCAAAAGAAAAAGTCTGCATTTCCAATATTATTTGCAGCTTCATTCAGGGCAGAAAGTAGGCACTCTCAAAGGCAAAATAATAATCTCAACACATTTTACTTTGAAACGAACTTCAAATGTTTTAATACTTAATACTTTGAAGCTTAAGATACTCAAACTTGTAAAACAATCAGACTGGGGGATTATAAATGAGGACATTACATCGTTTTTAAGCTTAGAGTACAAAATCATGGAGCAAATCACAGGATTCACGGCAATTCTTTGAATACAACTTAAACAATCCGAGTAGAGCACCAATTAAAGGGGAGGAAACGACATTAGTTTCTTCGGTAACAAAGCAAAAAGCAACATTTACAGAGTGACCAGGGTTTTATATGTATAACAATTGAAAAATTGACATGAATAACGGAAAGGTAAAAAAAATGTTATGAAAAAAATAGGAGAATAAACTGAGTGAAATATTTATATGTGTACTTACAATCCGTACTTTGATTGAAACTACAAAGGGAATTAGAATGCAGTTGAGGAATTAGTAGTTTTCAGACCTATAGTCTTTAATTATTGTAAGCTATACTTTCAATAAAAATTAAAAATGAACATGATTATAACATTCAGATGTAAAATTTCAACCTTAAAAATGTCTCCCTCTTTTCTAATTAGCTTGAGTGAATCACTTGTTGAACGTACAATTTTACGTCCATATGAAATGTCGAGTGACACCCCCTCACAAATTGTTCAGGATTTTTTGTTCACAACAGCTCCAGTGGCTTCGACAAAAAAAAAGAAGAAAAAAATAGACCTGACACATATTTCATACTTAATTACAGTATGGGTGACTGCCAATCTTTTAACAGACGACAGCCAAAGAGCTAGGAGAGATCCCTAATATGTCTTTAAAGAGAAAGGAAAAATTAATAAAGGAGAGGAGAAGAATATTGTTCCGAGTCAGTGATACTGACTCTAATTGAGTAATGCCTAGCTTAGCAATACGATGAAGGACAAGGAAATATTCTAGCTAACGCAAGTTTTGAATTATATGTACACCATTACACCAAGCTGAATCATTAGGCACTTTTTGGAAGCTTAAATTAAAGTTATCGCTGATCCTGTTATGAGAAAATTCTACCTGCTTAATACAATCAGTTCTCTCTTAGCGGTTCTTAAGGCCTTGTTCACTTGCGTAGAGTTCTCGGAACTTTAGCTGAATAAGTTATAACTTTTTCCATCCATGCGAAAAAAAGGTGAAAAACGATTCGCAGCCAAAAGTTCTACGAACAATTGCTCAAGTGGACAAGACCTGATGTGTGAGCCTGCCATTTCATTTGCATTTCTGATTGTGAATTTCCATGTATCCAGCACTGCCAGAAGTAAATGAATAGGTTTTGTGATCTAAACAGAGTAGATCAGAATTTTAGGTCAATTTTTCGTTTTTGAACTTCAAAAAACCAACGTTGTATGTCCTGGAATTTTCTTGGGATCGTCTTCAATGCTCTAGTAGCGATGACTCGGTTTTGAGTTTACAGCGCCCGTCCCTTGCAAAAACTGGGGCTCTCAAATTGAAGATAATTCTATGACATCTTAGCCATTTCTGCACGAAATCCTTGAAAATCTCAAAATCCAATCTATGATGTATCTCAAACACATTGGTTCCTTTTAAAAATTGTCAGCCTAAATATCTTTGAAAGGCAACATTCAACGAATCTGATAGTGAGCGTCTTTGAAGCCCCTATTTTGTGCGTGGGACAGGTGCTTAAGTGAGCTATGTTTCTTTTTCTCTTGGGCGGTCATATTTTAGTACAAACATTTAAGAACAAATAGGCACTAAAATAGGATCAAATTCACTAACATTTATCATAACTGAATTGAGTTTTCTAACGTCTTGTAGGTAAAGTTCGCAGATATTGAAAACTGTCATGAATTACTCGTCTTTTTTCTTTTAACAGATTTTTTAAGTGAAAGCTGCTAAAACCCCATTTGCCTGCGTACTTTGTGTTGACAGAAATAGATGCAGTTGCATCAGATGCATCTCATTTTTTGGGGATGAGATTAAAAACTGAAAGTACTTCCTACATTTTTAATGCAATTAAGTAAAATGAATAAAAAGAGTTATGCGACCATGATTGGCTAGAATTAACAAAGTAATATGAATCAACAACACTTTAAACCAAAAACACTTGTGCTATCACAGCTAAAACTATCCTTCTTCCTTTGACTAATGGTATATCGAAAGGAGGATACTTGCTACCGAACAGTACACTATGATCAACCTTTGACTTCATCCAAGAAACTCTATGAGTTTACAAACATAATTCACAAAAAAAGATAAAATCAAGCAAACCTGCGCTTAATGCCACTGAAAGTTATTAAAGATGTGCGTTTTGTAAAATCACAGGATATGCAATTTTAATGCGGCTAAGTTTTTTGTGTCTATAAAATTCAAAATTCCCACAGAGTAAGGAATAAAGATTTCTTTTCATTTAACCTTCATCAGTTTCTGGGTCCTACTTTCATTAATGACTGCTTCGTTAGAATAAGATTTCTTGCTTGAATATCTGACCACTTGTAGCAATCAACAAATGAGGGTAAATTTAAGGCTGGAATTTCAAGACGCATAATGGAACCAACAATCTTGCCTAGAGAACTACTTGAGAGTTCCTTGTGGGCCCTGAAATCTCTGCATTTAAAAATTGTCAAAGGTGATTGCAAGTCCAAGAAGTTTCGAGAGGCATTTCAGAATTTTGGCCTTTATCTCTTAACTTAGCGAGATTCTTTCAAAACGAGAAATCCAATTTACTTCACTATGATAAGTCTTTTAGGAATAATTGTATGCAGCTATTGCATACAAGACCCATATCTAATTGATTGCTGTCACTCAAAAATTGCATACACACAACCTTAGAATCAACAGAATTAATTGATAGAGAGCTTTTGCAGGTCAATGAGAGAGCTTGAGTTAACAGTAAATCACACGAATCACGATCAGCTGAAAAGCTAAGTTAGGGCCGGGGGGAGCTGACTCCCAAATAAACATACAAAAATTTGATTCTGAATATTGTATCAAAGCCGTGTGACTCTTTTTGGTGAAATCATTTCATAAAAAGCATTTTACACTGCTGAATTGATAGGAGGAAAAACGAAACTCTCGGCAGACTTATTGTTATGCGCACACTTCCTTCATAGGATTTTAGCCCACCAGTGAATGTACATTTTAAGGCACCGAATCCATCATCAGCACTGATTTAAATGATCTAAGAACGACCAAAAGGGTACTATAAAGAATGATTAATAATAAGACGAATATGAATCATCTTTTTCATTTTTAAGAAGCTAAAAATACAAAATACAACTACCATATTCTCAGGGTAGAGATAATTCATTGGGTTGATTAGTTGAATTTTGAACATTTAATTGGTTGAAGAATGTTTAAATTGTATTTATTTATTTGAAATATGATGCATATTAATCTTTTTATTATTTTTCTAATGTTTTTTTTTTTTTATTTTTTACAATGATTCTGGTATCAAGAGATGTGCAGACATTGATGGACTTAATTCTCGTGGACAAAATTAAGGCATAACAGCAAATCTGAGTGTTATTTCATATTTATTACTTTCATCCATGAAATTATTTAAAACTTAAAAAAAGCTGACAAAACAGTTGGATCTCAAAATTTTGATAGCTCATTCAAAATTACAAAAAAACAATTTTCCCTTTCAGATACTGACAACTAGCTGAAAAAGATCAACGAAACATACAATGGACAAATCTAGCGCAAATAAAGAGAAAATTCCTGATAACTTTACAAAGGTGTTCGTACGGTAAATAGCGTGCCGCCACAATACTATAACGGAAAAGGAGCTCTAAGAAAATACTCTAGTAAGCAAAAGGATACAATTTCAAAAATTTTCTACTTCAGCATTTATTTATTTATTCCTTAAATTTTTTTTCTTCTTTTTATTTTTTTATAAAATTACTGTTCAAAATATATAACATTGATATTAACATTCAAGCTTCACAGCCAAAATACATAATACGTAATTGTTAAGTTTTTGAAACCCTTAAAAGCTTAACTGCACCATCATTCACCAGACCCGCAAAACGGTAATTTGCTGCCATAATTTACAAGACCTGCAAAGCAATGCTTGGCATGAACAAACTTTCTTCATATAACTGATCGATTGAAAATACCATTGCAGAATGCGAGTTTTTACCAAGTATTATCAAATTCTTCGTTTCTAAATCAAAAGTTGACAGAGAATTTACAGTTTATGGATGATATATATATATAAAAAAAAAAAAAAAAAAAAAAAAAAAAAAAAAAAAACTGCAGCATTCAATTTCGCAAGCATGAGTAATCGAAGAAAAAAAAGAAATAGAAAAAGAGGGCAGACAAAGCAAAAAAAAAAGACAGAAATTTTTGAAAGGTATCAGTCCTTTGAAATATTTGCTAGGGGCAAGGCAAAAATATCGTTGAAGAGCCAACTATCTCACACACAAAATCACAAGTCTATTAAATAAAGGAGTTTTTTTTATTATTTAACAAAGCCTAAGTGGTTGTTTCAATTTTTTTTCTAAAAGTCTACTCTAACCTATTTTTTTCATGCGGCTAAAATCACTTGGATAAAACTAAAAACAAAAAACAAAGTCGGTTCAAAGATTTGTCGGAGAACATGGGTAGTGTTTGGGACATACAATTTGATCCAGATTTCTTGAACAGAAAATAATCATTCTGAATTCATGGAAACGTATAACTGAATTATGAACAAACAATTAGCATACTCTAGGATGACCTTAAATAATAAGTTTTGCAAGATTTGTACAATTCAAAAAAATTGATGAAAGTATCCAAGATACTGGTTACAATTCGAGAGTCACTTATCGCACTTAACTAAAGCTTCTTCTTAACAACAGACACTTATTTTCCAACAAAAAATTAAATTTTTATGATTTAAATATATTTGCTTTTTTTCATTGCCGCAATATAACAAATGAATAATATCTGATGACGATATTCCGCTCAAGGTAATCCTACAATCAAACGAATATGGGTACATGGGACTTGAAAAAATATTCATTGCATATCTTCTAATTAGAAGAGAGATATTGAGGTTTGTTTTAATTCAGACAAAATGGCTCTTTTAAACTTAAAGGCTGTTGATAATCTTGCGCAAATAGCAAATTATCTTGAAAATACATACATTCACAAAACTTGATACAGATTGACAAGATGACACACTGTGAACATGGTTGATAACAATTAATACTTGTTGTTAATCAACTAAATCCTCTCCTTTTGGAGAATGACAAAAGAACATTACACATGTAAGGAGTGAATGAGAAGATTCATAAAAATGGGCACAGATTCACATGAAATTGCTTGGATATGAAAACTGCAATCCATTGTCCATTGAATCACAATGGTAATAAAATATGCTGCATATAACTTTCAACAACACTTTCTAAAATCATTAGATCTGTGCCAATTAAAATCTTCATGCACCAGGAGGTTGAAAATTGCAGGACTATGAATGAACAGTGTATGTATTAATCACTTTTACAGTGCACCAAAGGGCTCTGCGATACCTAATTGTCACTGGAATCTGTCAAGATTAAAGGTCTGAAACTCAAAAAAAGGCAGAGAGAAAAAATAAAAATACTAGGAGTGAATTTAAAGAACGGTCAAAGATTCTTGTTATTTTAGTCAATCCAACAAAGTTTATGAAGCATAAAAATTTTCATGGCAAAGTCAGATCTACTTAACATTATATTTTGCAATTCTGGCTTAAAACCTAATTTGTTTCACATACTTGTCTGTATGCCTGTGTAACAGTACTGACCAAACTGAGTCAACGGTGAAAATTTCCAATTTGGAAAAAATTGACTTGAAAATCGGCACAATGCAAATTGTTGGTAAATAAATAAATAGATAAGAATATGATGTCAGGAATGCGTATCAAAATCAAAGGGTGAGATAACTCTCAAGCTAATATCCAGAGATAAGAGGCATTCAGCCATTTATTATTTGCAACGCTACAAATCTTAGAGAATCAATTTGTTCAAGTAATGCGTACGTTAATGTGATTATTTGAGCTGTTGAAGCTATGATAAAGAAAAATTAAGGGAAAACACAAAAAAAGGGTTTAAAACTTAAAGTAATTCACTCATCGGAAATTACAATAATGAAATTTGATGTTTGGATTTTAGATGATGATTATGATAAAAAACTTGATTATAAAATATGACACAGGATTGACAAAAAAAATATGACTTAATCAATAATAAAATTTGTTTAATTTTTAATATTTTTAAAATTCTTTTAAGATATTTAAAATCCCTTCTTAAAGAGAGAAAAAAAGAAAAGATTTAGTAAGGAAATGAAAAACTCATGCTTGAGACAGCAGAAAATAGGATAAAGTTTTGAAATGATCTGTAGAGAAAAATAATTAGGTGGAATGAGTAATCGGCTCTGAACTAGAGCATATTTAAATCTTGAACACATTTTACATGTTGGATGCACTAGAAGCTGAAATAGAGGCACAAAAACTGTATTCAGGGATGGTTAAATGCGGTGAAAAAAAGCAATAACAACAAGACTTTACAAAAAAAAAACAATAGTGGACGAGAGACGATATGTCTTGCGTAGAATAAATATCAATCACCATAATGCTTCAAGGCTAATGTTTTGGAAACCAGGATTTTTCCGTACTTCCCAGTACTTATTTGTGAAGTCCCACGATTCTTCATTGTCTTCATCCCTCCTAAAAAAAAAAGCAAGAATATTTAACAAATTAGGCAACGGACACACAATGCAATAACATAAGCTCTGTTTTAAACAAGTAAGTAGCAAACACAGAAAATTTTACAGTGTCAAGAGGAAAGTCTTGTCAGGGTATTTTCGAAAAAATAAATTTCCCTGGATAAAATATATGTCTTTGAGAAAAGTTATGCATATTTTTCCTTGAAATTTGTAGATATCTTGTGCTGAACTAACGGCAAAATTGTCTGAAAAATTGGGATTTTTTTTTTTTAACTTTACCAGAAAATTCGTGTTTTGTTAAAGGAAATTTGGCAACACCTGAAGATTCATACAGCATTTTTCCATTGCATAGCAGTATCGGTGATCAAGAAAAGCTTCTGTTTCCTTGCTGGCCCGGAGAATAAGAAAGACAAAAAGAGTCAGATTCCTCTGGATGATAATTGTAGTGACTGATAAAAGCTAGTGACTAGCTTTCATGCAATTAGAGTTTTTATAATGAGCAAAAGTTCTCAATGCTGATACTCACGAATCAATACCACAATTTTGATGAATACTTTTTCTACCATTTCGTCAAAATGAGCTTTGCTACATCGCATCATGCTGAGCAAAATCTGTAAAAATAAGCCTCAACTCTATCAACAAATGTTATAAATTGCTTGTGTTTGTGATATTAAATGAAACTTACTTGAACCATTTTGGCTCATGATGAATGCCCAATTCTTCAAACCGTTTTCTCCTATCACGCTGAGCTTGTTCTAACTGTAGTTTTAATTTTTCAGCACCATCTAGATCACCTTCCTCTAACAGCCTGTAAGAAGACAGATACAAATATTTCATTATTCTTTCATCTCTTAAATTGGTTGTCATCATCTGTATTTCCAAGTGAGAGAGAGATCTTATTTCCTAGATTTTTTTCTGATTCCCATATGAGTTTCAAGGAGCTAATTCAAACTAAGAGAATTCAAGTGTTCATAACAGAAAAATATACTCTGACTTCCTCAGACGTAATTGCAATGGGCCACTAAACAGTATCTGAACCAGATAAGAGTCCCATATTTTCTCTGTAAAATCTTACCTAGAAAATGATTCACACAATGGGAAGTTCAGAAATTAATTTCTTGTATTGATGATTGTATTCTTAACACAGATAAACTGGAAGTTAAATGATACAAATGACGTCAAATGTCCTTTTTTCGTTTAACCAACGTTAATTGTAAACACCAACTTCTTCAGGGTGTAGGTAGTTGATTTCCAGACTTCCCTTTGTGTGATTCATTTTCCTGGTGAAATTATGGAGAGAAAATATGTTGCATGGAGCTTTAACTCATACCCATTGGATTTTACCGTTACATTAATTTCCATCCCAATAGAAGAGGTAAGTAAACTATATCAAACTAGAGATATAAAATTTGGATTTAGTCCTCTCCAAGTATTTAATGCTGAAGGGCAGAGAATAATAAATCAAAGTATCAAGTTACCGCTTTTACTTGTGAATTTACGGGTCTTGTTTTGGCAAGTTTTGATTCATGTGTACTTCTGTCAGAAATATACTGTTAGTGATACATTTTGATCCACTATTAGCAGTTTGGAAATAGATCATGTTTGAGTTTCTTACCTTTGATCAGGGCGAAACCTGGTGTCCGTGACAGGTAAAATTTTGGCTGATTCAGCATCTAATTCATTTAACTCGATAGCGAACCTGGTAAAACCATAATACAACTCATAATCTTCTGGCATTGTTCCTGCAAAATCAAGACAAATATTCCAGTAAAGACACTTATCGTATATCAAGTAATTAAGTTGTTATTTATATGCCTAAATATCTTTAACAATACTTATCTTATGTAATATATGTAATATTTAAATACGATAATAAAGATAGAAGGGGAGTGTCCCTGATATAAAAAAAAAAAAAAAAAAAAAAAAAAAAAAAAAAAAAAAAAAAAAAAAGTAAAGACACTAGTACATATGAACACACTTCGATTGAAACTCTCGTTTCAAAAAAGCCTGACTCTGAAAAGAAAATTAAACCTTCAAAACAACAAAATAGGATTCAGCTAAAAATTTTAGTGAATGGAAGAGGATTTTGGTGCATGTTAATCAGTTCCTGGAAAGAGCCCGGCACGAGCATTGCCTGGCAAAGAGTATGAGGCATCAGTGAACATATCCTGTCTGTTCCATGAAATTTTTCTTTGATGCATGGCCGATACAATTTTATTACATCCTTTGAAAGTATTAAATGAAATAAGCTTATTGTTTTTTCCCCAACTTTTCTTGACAACCGCAACAGGGAAAAAAATTCACTCTAAAGTACAAAAAATTAGGGTAGCAAAAAACAGGGTTTGAACTGTGTGCTCGTTGTTTTCCAATTAACGGTCAATACGGTGGTAAATTTTGCAGGGAAAAATACACGGCAGAAATTCCTCTCGAGCTTGAGTGACCCATTTTGTTTCAGAGTATTATTGATTAAAATACATAGATTCATACAGGATCAACACACTAAACAAATGATTTTCTATTTTATTGATATGAAAATTAGACACAGACCTTGTCGCCAAATGCATTTTGCTGAAGGTGCAACACCACAGTAAAGAGCTTCGCTCCATTTGCCGAACAGCTTCCTCACCACTTTCCCTTCATTTTCATCGATTACAACACCGTGAACTTCATGTCTTTTTGCTGACCAATAACTAGCCTATGAGAAAAATGTGAAATTAGAATTTTGCAACCAGCAAAAGATCAACAAAGGCTAACAAACTGAGGCAAACACAATAAATACACAACATACAAACACTTTCATAATACTGAGAGAGAGATCTTGAGTAGTACAAAGTCAAAATTTAAAAATGTTGACAATTCCAGAGCTGATAATTCCATATTAGTAATACAAAAATCATTTACCTATTATATCAGAAATTAATTGTACCTGTTACGGAAAAATTGCTCTCTTCCAGTTCTAAAAATAATATGATAACATGATTCACAAAGTGTCTTTTTGATCTGGGTGCTAAGCAAATTTTTCTTCCATGCCGTGGATTTTTTTTTTGTAGGATCGTGCAAAGCTTGAATGTTTTTTTTGCTGTAACACGGAAACTAGATATAAGGCGTCTGACTGTGCAACAGCCAAGACTGGAATTTTGTGATCCTGCTGTGACAAAAGGCTGGGTAGGCTCAAAGCTCTAAATCAGTGATTGGCCACTTAATTTTTGCATCCCATATCCTACAGTTTTTTAGGAATTTTAAACTTTGAGGAGAGCAGGGGCATTAGAAATTAATTAAGTGCATTCAAGATTTGAAAAATAAATGTTTTTTTCGGAGTATTAGACCTGTTTTTCACGGAACTCTTTGACAATCTTGAATTAAGTCTAGAATTTACTGGAATGATGACTGTATTTTTTTGATGAGGAAAGACAGGGAGATCTTGGTTGATCTTGACCTCAGCTATAATAAAGTATGGTAAATTGTGTGAAGCGGTGAAAAGGTAAATTAACACTTGGACAACTCACCTTAACAAATGTTAGTTTACAAGTAATATTTTTATCTACATTAACAATTTTCAATTCACCATACTGGTCTACCCATCTTTGACCGCTAAACAAGTTGTGAACACAGGTTGTAACCTTGTTCCACCGGTAATGATCCTTCTGATCGGGTTTCAACAATCTCACATTGATAAAACCTGAAAGAATAAATTTGGTAAGTAAACATAAAACATAGAAAACATAATTGATGAAGGAATGTAAGTACTGTTGTTTTGGCAGTGAAGGATCTTTTAACCTTAAATTGTAAGCATTTTATGATAGAATCTAATGAAATTAGTTTTTTGCTGCAATTTGAAGCTTGGTGGTAAAATCACCTAGACGACATGTGCATCAAACTGCAATCAGTCTGTATGTAGTAACACTACTTTGCTAGGGTTTTGATAGAGCTGTTTGGATAATTCATTCACTAAATGGCCTAAGTTTGCTTGTGACGCAACCGCATGCCCAAACCTCAGACTGGTTTACACAAACTCGGCAGAGGTAGATAAACAAGAGGCTGCGCTGCACTATAGATGGGTCCAATTAGACCAAAAATGTGTCTGTAGCTGCCTTCCTGATTGGTTGACGCTATTGGCACCAAATATCATGACTCCTTGAGAGAAAATTTAAGCCTTAATGAAATTTTACACTCTGTAATAAAAACATAAGTTTTGAACTGAAATTCAATGCACACAGGCAAAACCATCGACACTCCAATAAAATTAACTTTTTCTAGCAGTTCGTAATTATTCAAATGCACTTCCATTGGCTTAGCATTCATTATTAAGAAGATCTCAACAGGGTCCCGGGGGGCGCGGCTCAATTTAACCAAATTTGGCAAAGACAAGGCGGCAAGGATTGAGAATAAAAAACAAATCATACCATTTGGTTGGAATTCCATTGATTTTCCCCAAAATTTAGTCTTAATTCTGACATCCTGCCAAAATATAAAATTCCTCGAGTCAGCATGACAAACACTGACAGGTGGATGATGACTAACCTGCAAAATAGAAAAAAGAAAACAATTTTAAAGGAAGTTATTCTCTGATGAAAATATTTCACTCTTTAAAAAGCAAAACTGTGAGGAGAAACCAGATTTTTTGCCTTGTTCATGTGGAGAAGACAAGACACAGAAGGGGTTTGGGAACATGAGAATTTGTTGTATTAATATTGAGAGACTTATCTACAAAGTCTAGGGTCTACTAGGGCAAGAGGTCCAAAAAATCTTGTCACTAAAATTCTAATGTCAATATAGACTTCAGCTAGAGCCCAATGAGTTACACGACTTATCAAAACCAAATTAGTACCAAAAAATCCAAAGCCAACCAACAAATTAAAGATGTGATTTTAACACACACATCCCCCACTCTTCCAATCAACAGGAGGGGCAAGAACTTCAGCGAATAAGCACTTAGATAGATTAGAATCTATTCTGAAAAACTTACTTGTTCAGCTACGAACTTAAATCCTTTATCCTCCCGAACACATTCGTAAGTTTCTCCTAGAAGAGGATTGAAAGGCTTAGACCCAGCTCGGTAATATGAGGAACCATAACTAGAGACCGCAAAAGCAGCGACATGTACCATCCTTTCATAGGGGTCGGTAAGCTCTGCAGCTTTGTCTAATAATTCACTATACTCAAGTTCTTCACACATTCGCTGAAAAAATCAGAAACAGAAAAGTAAAGAATAATTATAGAGGATACGTTGATTACCTGCTAATTAATTTGGGTATCTACTACAGAGTTACTTGAAGTATCATCAAACAATACTGGAATCTAGACTCAATTCACAGATTGTAGGTACTTTATTTAGCTCCTCTTACTTTGAAGCGATACGACTTTTCTCTTCGGAGTTTCTCTGAACTAAGAATTATTCCATGAGGGTGCAATCAGTCAAGTGCAATTAGTGTATAGAATAAAGATGTACTCTGTGAAATGCAGTTATTCAAAACAAATTTGAATCAGCAGGTGAGTTTAAAGTTTTTAAAATTTTAACATTTCCTCATCCATGATTAAAGTTTACAGTAATTCAAACATCGAAATAACACTCGAGTGACTGCAACTTTCCAATAAAAATCGAATGAGTATTTTTTTGAGCTCAACTGAGAGAATGTAGGCTCTCAAATGCATATACTCAACTTTTCAGAAAAAAAGGATGAAGGTTATTTTACACTTTCCTCTGAATAAAAAGAAAAACTGAGATAGGCAAAAAATTTCTTTCATACTTTACCTGTAACATATTTAACGGTTCATTGAGGGCGACAGGCATGGAGACTTGCGACAAATCTTTACCAATATTTTTACACAGCAAATTCCACAAGGAAAGACCCTCTGTATTTGGCCGAGGACATGGTAACTTGGTTCTGCGCCCAGTCATGTTTGTTGAAACGGAACCATCAACTGTAAAAAAATTAAACACAAAAAATGAAAATAGGCAACTGAATTCTTCTTTGAAACCAAATTTTTAAGTTTGATAATATCAACAGCATGTAATATTACCAATAAGAAAACAAACAATATGAGTTAACAAAATCTAAAGGGCAATTATCATTACTGTCTCCTTGAAAATGTTTCATGGAATCTAGGTGACTCAAATACAGTCACACCCTTTAATAACATTCACAAAAGGAGAGCTAAAAGTAGGTTGTTGCTTCCAGAAAGAGGTTATTTTCGGAAACACTGCGATGAGGAACAACTGGTTAGGACTTGAAAAAATGAACATCGTTTCTAGAAAGTTGTCTTCTTGAGAAGCCTTACAGTAGGATACAACTATAAGATAATTTCTTATTTGATTTCTGTAGGGTATTTACTGGTGCGTCATCATCTAAAATCCTTGCTTTTTGCATGCCTTTTTTTTACTTTCTCCATAATTTCCAAGATATCCCTCTTTTAAAGGTTTTCTGAAATCCTCATTTTTTCATTGTCTTTTCCTCTTTTTTTCTCTACCTGACACGCATTTTGAACTCTAACGAGGACATATTTTTGTAAAAGATGAAGAAATTCTGATTTAGAAAGTGAAAAGTGGGAATGCTAGAGGGATGAACTGAAAAACGCAGAACCTAGCTGAGATTTCAAGGGAATGTGATAAGATTGAGTACACATGAAAATTGCATACCTCCGGGGTACTTTTGTTGGATTCATGAAAAAAACCTTAAATTTCTAAGCTTTCATATGAAAACTGCATGCGTTTCCTGTATTTCTGAACTGCCCTTTCAAAATCTATACTTTCTCAGTGTATCTGTGCTTTTTCTGTACAGTAGACACCCTGCTTCTAGTAAATACAGGATTGAATTTCGAAAATTCATCGATTATACTACCATAGGCAATTTTCGTGGGAAATTTGGACACAGTAATTTAGTTATTAAAAAAATGGAGCACTTACTATTATTATGTGCATTATAGTGAGAGGGGGCGAGCTCACTGTTTTCACTAGACAAGGACCCTTCCTCACTGGATATAGAGCCTGCTTCCGAAGATGTGTCTGAACCTTGAGTTTCTACCACTCCAGATGCACAACGTTCCACGATATCAGTATCAGGCCCAGTATTATTCAAGTACTCTTCAGCATCAAAGAACTGTTCATTTTGGCTTATACACGAAGAACTGTAAGATAGGGATGGCCGCAGTGGTTTCTGAAAAGAAAATCAGTCATAAATATATCAAAGTCAAAAAGGAAACCCATCTTAGGAAGGAGAGGAGGCGATTAAAGAGGTTGCGCCTTGAGCAAAAACTTTAGAGTGAAAATGAAAAATTGATTCTATGGATCTGTCATGGCAAAAAACTTCAGACGAGCCTCTTTAAATTTTGCATTCTTTCGTATTCTTACAAATCACAAAGGACAGAATTTAATTTAAAAGAAATTAGGAGGTTTGGAGAAATTGCACAATAGCTGTGACTGAAACACATAAATCTGAAATAATAGGCGCATGATGGCTGTCCCACCTTCGTAACAAGAGAGGGAAAGCTCTTTGTCATTAATAATCTGGTAGTATTGTATTTGTAAACTTTTTTAACCCCATTTTCTTTCAAAATTGATACTTGGAAAGTTTTAATTTAAAAAATCAATAAATGCAGAATGTCAAATCAAACAGCGAAAATATTTAACTGAATTTAACTTCCTTTGGATTTTAAGATAACTTCTTTCAAAATGCCGTCAAGTCATTAACAGCAGTTTATAATGTTGCATACAGTTTTTTATACTAAACTAACTAAGCAAGGAATCTTAAGAAAAATATAGTTTGCAGTTTTAACTTACGGGCTCTGTTAAATCGCTGACATCCGCTACTTCATGAATTTTGTTCAACCTTGCTCTCAATTCAACATTCTGTTGTTGCGTTTGAGATAAGATGCTACGCAGTGAGGATAAAACGGCAGAACTTGAATTGCTTCCAATATTTGTCTCACTTTCTAATGCTGATTTTAACCTATCTTTTTCATTATTTAACGTATACAATACAGATTTTAAACACTCATTCACTGAAAAAGAAAATTTTGAATCAAGAATTAGAGTACAAAGAGAAAGAAAAAAATTCAGGACAAGTATGTATGAGTTTTTATTTACAAACTATATTCTGATGAATCAAAAACTTTCTGAGATATTACCAACATTACTTTGATTGAGATAACAATTTTTAATGACTTGGATTTTATTTCTAAGAGAAAATATAAGTCAATCAAAGATAATAGGATACGCTTCAAAAGCTTCATATTTTTGTTTTGTTTACTAACCCTTTGTTTTGGTTCATTGGTAATTGGCACTATCAACCTGGCTTTCAATAAAAAAAAGAATGGAAGAAATGCAGCACTCATTTTTACAATTTCATGTGACCGAAGTAACCAGTTGACCGTGCTTTGTGACCTCTCTCACACAATTTCTTGCTGTGTCAGGACTGCATGTCCCTTTTGCATCAGATATGAGGCAGTAAAATTAATCACAGGATTTTTGAAACTCCTAGCATGATTTGCTCTCTTACTATCATCAAAATCTGCTTGTATTTTTCCATTTGCAATGCAAAACTGCATGTGGTCACACCGTGTAAATATTTCGTATGAATATTAGAGAAAATGATTATGATCATCTTACCATCTTTGGCTAGGGCGAGAAAATCTCCATGACTCTGAGATTCGCTGCTAGATTTATAATCAACTATAGGCACATCTCTCTCAGAACACGTACTTAAAGAGTGAGGTCTTGTTAAGGTGCAGAGAGTGGGGTTACTGGAACTTAAATTATTACTGGCTGGAGATGTTGACAAACCACCAGAAAAAGAGCATGTCTTGAAAAAAGAAAAGGAAAAAGATAAGACAAAACCAGGAATTAAGCATTCGTACAGTTGCAAAAATGAAACTTATCACATTTTGAAGAAAATAAAAGAAGAAAAAAAAGAAAACTTACACACACATCTGCCACATGATGGAATTACTTTAACAATTTTGACTACCTTGACTTAAAGGTGTAAGAAAGTGCTGTTCATTATTCATGTTTCAGGACGTTACCAATAATGCACACTACTGATAATTTAAGCCCTTGATAATTGGCACAGTTTGATACAAAATTGCAGTGAGGTATGATACCAGAGACTAAAAGAAAAAACCCAAACAAAAATTTCTAATCAAAAGCTTTGACCGCAGTGACCTATGACCATCAGAGTGTGATAATAAAAGCCGCAGCTCTCGTGAGTTAAAAAAAATGCCATTTTGTTATTCACAGAGGAGGCTGGAAAACATTGATAAAGATTTGCATTTGATTTTGGATAGTTTCCAAAATTCTTGAGACTGATGTTGTTTGACCAAAAATCCTTGATGAATCCTTCATTCCTTCAATGATGAGTACTCCAAGATTAGTAAGATTCATATTTCTGGTTGAAATCATTGACAGGAGGCAGAAATAGGCTGGAATTTCCAATTAGTTTACGGATGAGTCTGGAGGATTAACTTACCGAAATTGGTGAGGCATCCGAAGGTTCAAAGTTTTTGTTAGGACTTGATCCTGGCGGAGGGAGAGCATTATTTGATAAATCTATCGAGCAATGACTATTTTTACTACCACCCCAACTACCTCCACTGCTTTTCTTCTTCCGTAGTCCAAACTTCTTGCGGTCTTTCTTAACATTCGGAGACAATCCATCTGCTAAATTCTGGAGGGTTGAAAGATTTATCGAATTAGTATCTTGATTTATGTACACAGTACAAAGTTAATGACATACAACATAAGAATCAAGAAAGAAAGGGGAAAAGGGGGGAGAAGTACCAAGCAGAGCAAACATACATCCATTGAACATAAATATCACTTGCTGAGTCTAAAATCGTCATGATGATAGAAAATTAAAACCGTGAACAGTTTCTGTGTTTAAAAAATTTGACTTCAGACTGACATGATTTGAAAATTAGGAATCTGTGGCTGACAGTAAAAACGAAGTGGAGTTTTCATCAAATGGCAATCAGTTCTTTTCATTAATTTTAGAAATTTTGTATGTTCTATTGATTTCCCTACACAGACAGGTGATTCTGTGAATGTGTGTGTGCACTTGGCTCCTATTATATGAAAGCTATCCAAAAGTTATTTTCAAAATCTATATTACAAATAACGGAAAAAATTAATGGCTTGCTAACACTAGCAAAAAAACACTGGGCTCTTCAGATCATGAGATAATTATGAACAAGCTCATTTCTCCTTCTGACGGACGAAATAGATAGGTTTACAGATTTTCAAATACAGAGAGCCTGTGTAGAGCAGGTTGGAAAAATTCTACTTCTACTTTTAAAAAACGCAGAAACTAAACGATGAAAATAGGAGCAAAGATAAAAAAGAGCAGAGAATAAGAATAACAATATCTGTACTCACATTTTGTCCGAGTTCACTATCTGTCGCAGAGGCCAATTCAATTTGATCTAAGACTAATGACAATTGCTGTAGATTTTTCTCCACTTGGTTCAAACGTTTAGAAGCTTGATCAAGAGGTGATGCTGAATCTATGATCCATGCAGCTAAACGAGGCATCCCAGGAGGAGGCGAACATGCCTTTACCGAAGAAGCTAGTTCTGTTGTGGTTAGTTCTGTAGAAAATAACCAAAAAAAGGCTTTAAATAACTTTGGCAAAAACTTCTAAAATCAGCAACACAATACTGATGAGAATGAACGCTTTCACTGCGCTCAACTAGGCGAAAAATTTCAATTTTTGCACAGCTACCTTCATCCACTCGAGAAAACAAGTTCAGGAAGTCAGGAGAACTATACAAATAGTAACATAGTTTTCTCTTGCAGTCAGAATTTAGGTAAATCCTGGGTAGTTGCATTCCTTCATCCATGGATTTTAAAGATTGCTCTCTCTGAAAAATTGTGTGAAATTTTTAAGGGGGTAATTTTAAATGAACTCAGTTTGGATGATTATGAACAATTGAATAAATTAGCTCGGGATATTACATTTTGGCTGCAGCACTCCCCTATGTGGCCTGACACTGTAATTTCAAATTTGATGTACACCACACCATCCAGGCCGATGGTTAGAAAAAAAGTATTATTAAAAAAAATGGCGACTAGCAAACTGATGTGCTCTCTACTGTCCCAAACTTGACCTTTTCATTTAATAGAAAATAGCAGAGCCACTCAATATGAACTGACCCAAAATACGGTTCAGGAGCTAAAAAAATGTTATGCTCCTTCCATATGGCCCACAGATGAGTCCAAAAGACAGCAGATAAGCTAAGAAAAAATAATTTTTGATTGCAGCATCCTGCTGCACTTAGCAAGAAATAGTGACACAGCTAATGTATTTAACAAAAAGTAATGATTTACACAATGAGTACAAAAATCCCAATAAACATATTTGAAAAAGCTTACTTGATCGATTCTTATTCACAGATTTTGGTTCGGCCGCCAAGCGATCTCCTCGGCCACAACCAAAAGTAAGGACATGCTGCCTATATAATCGATGTACTTTCAACTGCTCTACCCATTCTTGAAAAGACTCAACAGTTTTAGCCTAGAAAAAACAAAAGTTATTGAAGGAAGATTAATAATAGATACCAAGGAAACAGGACATGAAGAAAATATATTTTCATCAAACGTCATCCAAAAGAGCAGGTCCTGGCATAAATCTCAATATTTACTTTCAGAAACTCTTGATGCACTTCCACTTAACTTTAATCCAGTTGAGCTCTGTAATTTCAAATTTCAAAAGCCATACCAGGCACGCCTGCGTGTCCAAAAATTCTTTCTCTTGAATGTTCCTTTGCTTTTTCATTCCAAATGTTAAGAATATTTGAATGAAAAAGGACTAATAATCGCAGGTTGATGAGCAAGATAATGAAATTTTTTCCTCTCCTTTCAATAGTGTGTGAGTTTAACTGTTGTAAGGGTACACTTTCAACCAAAAAATAAAAAAAAAAACGTTTAAAAGTGTTTAATTTTCACCAAAAATGCCTGAAGAAGATGGATCCTTTCCATAAGAAAACTGAGAAACTCTGTATTTATCATTGTGAAGATTATCACGTTGCACACTTAAATTCACATCACACGATGTTAAATAAGGAAAGACAATAAAGTGAAAAAACCAGGAAGTTCAAATATCACACTACGATAGATAAAATTAAAAAAGAAAACTCAAATGATTTTGAGCGGAAGTAATGAGCACTGAGATTAACCTGCAAGAGGTCAACGAATGAACTATATTTATCTTAGAAAAGGATAATAGGATGGGTAGATGGGACCACTCATAACACAGGTAAAATTAGATACCCCCGGCTTGATAGAGCACCAGTCTAAACTTGCATGTCTTATCAGTGCATCAATAAGTTCCAGTAAACCAATTCAACCCATTCACTGATAACTTATCACTTGCAAAATCACTCCTGAATTCTCCTCCTCAGAAAAACTCTGATACACTGGGGAAACCCATTCGTTTTCATTCTAAAATTATTGCTCTCTAACAAGGTGATATCAGAACTCAAGATTGTCACAGATAATTTATCTAAATAAATAAAAAATCACCATGATCTTGAAGGAAGCACACTTGGGTTTTTCGGTCTGTTCACTTGATTTTATTTGTTCATGTTCGAGGAGGTTTTTATGACAGTAAAGTTGATTCTCAGTGGTAGTTATCCACATAAGATGAAATGACAGAAGATGGGATAGTAATTTAAAAGGGACAATCAGGTAGGTTACATAACAGAAAAAAGTCTAACAATAAGTCAAGATTTTTTTTACCTTTAAATGATAAATAAATTCTTCAGCATCAATATCAAGCCGCCTCCTTTTCAGTTTTGCTGAAATGACAGAGAGACCAATATCTAACTGACCATGAATTTTACCCCGAGCAACATCTCCTGGACTTTTTCCATAGACAAGGATGCCTTTATCTACCATAAAATAGCGCTGGAAGAAAAAACAAAAATATCGTGAAAACTTAAATCAAACTCAGAGACGACATTAAGTAAGGGAAATCTTGCAAAACTTCTGTTGATGATTAAAAAGTGGCAAAGTTAAAAAAAGCGATAGCATATTACTAGGAAATTACTTATGGCTATATATTGCCATGTTCAGCTAGAATTACAAAATATCAACCCCCCCCCCTCCCTTCCCTTTTCCCTCCAGATGCCACCGCTGTTATAAGTAAGCATCATCCTCATAAATACAATTTACTTTATATTAAATAATTACTCAAAATCAATTAAAGGAGAGAAAGAAATATACTTAGAAATATCGGCAGTTTGGAGTATGGCACTTAGATGTATTATCAAGGTTGTCTGTCCTTGAAATGTTCATTGGGTCACGTCAAGCACAATTTACTTCGGTAGGGCTCTGCTTGAAGCCTGTAATAGCTTGACAGCAATTGAAGCATTTTAATTGTTGGACAAAGAGGACCGCTTTAGAAAGTTAAAAAAATTGAGGGGGGTGAAATGGTAATACTGATAACATGATTTACTGGCTGGATCTGTATCAGTAACCTTCGGTAACGAAAATGAGGCAGATGCTTGAATACTGCTTGGAAAGCAGGGTCTTCGCAGCGGAAGGAGGGGAGGCATTTTTTCTCATCAAAATTCTGAATTAAAAATCCTGTTAGGATTTTCGGCACTCATAGCGATTTTTGGAAGAAAATTGTAAGTGCCTTTTCTGGAAAAAATGTTCTTTGATGTTTTATCTGCAAATTTAATGTAAAGATATCGAAACAATGGCGCCAAGGTAGTCATGTTTTCAAATTTGATTTTAGCATTACTAAGTTCACAAAATTTAGAGACAAACCTTATGCCAGCCTTTCAGAGGAAATTTCCTTTTCTTCATTAAATAACCAAAAAATACGTCAGGTTTCCTCTCAAATCTTTGTCCATCTTTCAGTCCTTCTAAGATTTCCCATTCAGAGCCTCGTCGGTTCAACTTCTTGGGACCTGAAAAAATTCCAAACATCCAGGGTTAGAGACACTGAATAATTCAGATGAGAGAGATCAATTTTCACCGGAGGCTCCAGGAGAGCTTGGAGATCCTCCATTAGCCACCTGTTGACTAATAGTTACTTTTACTTTTGAATTCCACGATCGAAGCTTTAAAATAATACTCTCTTGTCGGCAGTTGAGTGATTTTTTTAGCCATTTGTATAACTAACGTGCGCACTGGGCAATAATGCGGAGCGATGCGATAGGATGTGACATTGTTTCATAAAACTGCTCCGACATATAATTATGCAGCGACTCATATATGTACGGTCATTCTGTGGCGACGTTCCTGTATGAATTTTGACCGAGAGGTTGACATCCTTTTTTTAACTTGCACACTTTTTGTTTTAACTTATGAAAAAAATAGGAATCCTTGCGGATTGCAGATTAGACTAGTATCCTTAACACCCACAAAAAAAGTGAATTGAGGAACTGCAAATTTTGCAGCGATAACGAGACAGATTATACTTGGTACTTAAATTGCTGAAATTTTTCGTTTGCCAACATTTACTTAGATTATGATATCTATGACGCATTTTATCTGAATAGCAGACTATTGTTGCTGGATTAGTTGGCAGAACAATGAATGAAGTCTCGGTCGAAAAAAAGAGAGAAGAAGGGTAAAAAATTCAATGATTAAAAAGTTACTTTGTCTTATAATTTCCATGATCTACATTAAAAAAAAGTTAGTGTCCACTCCTCAGTTGACCCTAGCTGGTGCTGTTGACAACGAAAATCGGTGTTTCTGTTTCATAGACCACGAATCGGTGCTATAAACCAACTTTGATCATTCAATCGATTATAGTTGTTAGACGCACAATTAAGTAAGTTCTTGGCGTAATATACAGCACTAGTTAAGTTGGCTGGGCCAAAATCAGCCATTAATTCTGTTATAAACCCTCCTTACATACCCTAAAATTGATCTAAATTGCCCTAAAAAAAGTTTCTGGCTTCCGACAGATGACACAACTGCCGCTAAATGTTATAAGCTCTTTGAACGTTCCCTAGGGCGAAGGTTCATTTCAGAGACTGGTCAAAATTTTCAGAAAACCAAATGAAAATGGATCGGAAAGCATTATAACCAGGGCCGAATTTTGTCGGTCCTTCCACCGTGCTTAACTATACTTAAGACGGGTCTCCACTGCACTTAAGTCCGGCTTAGCGCTTCTGATTGGCCGGTGGTGCGGTTTGAACTCATCGATGGATGATGCACTCCGTGTGAAAGAGCCGACAAAATTCGGCCCCAGGGTGTCTGCGAAAATTTCATACTGGATTTTCCTGATATTTTACGTGAAATTTCCTGATGTTTTGTCAATACATTGACACTCGTTAGACTTTACGAACCAACATAAATAAATTGAATCGAATGTTTCACTTTTGCATTCGTTTGACGTGCTCGGAAATTCCTAATCCGTGACAAATCGTCGCTCCTCTGGCGTAAGGGCGTATCTCGATTTTTGGACATTTTGAGTTAGGCATGTATTCTTATGTAGTTTGAGCTGCTCTTTCGATCTAGCCTACTCTCAGGTCCGAATTCCCAGTAGTTAATGACTTATGGCCATAAAACTGAAGGGCGTAACTCGCCATTGCCGAAAAAAGGACGCGACGTAAGGGCGTATCTCTGCAGACGCGGCGCTGCACCCCTACGACGAGCCGCTTCTCGGCATTGAGTATCTCATATGCCCGTCGTACGACGTGTCCAGTGACGGCGGGTTTTCAATTATATCTTAAGGAAACTTTTTGACTTGATATCATTACTATAACTTACATTTCTATAAAAGTATCAAATCACAGATCTCAAGCATGGAGTTCGCAATGCTGATTCAATTTATGCTAAGCTAGAACGTTCAAATTGAATTCGCATGTGCCGTCTACAGGCGAACGTCTGTTTCAGTGTGATACTTGCTCTCTCAAAATAATAATATTTTCACAAATTAATGCAAGTGGCAATCCTGCATATTACTGGTCATCTCCGCTTTTGTACGGACGGGTTTTCCCAGGCCGCCACTCAGGTGCTCGCTGCATCCTTTCAATCGTCGCAGAGGTAAGGCAGGGTCAAAGAAATAACCCTTAAGCACCCCAGCCTCTGTAGCTTTTAGAATGTGGTTTTCTGCCTCATTACACCCATCAACGCACAAGTGGGAGAAACAGGTGGAAGGAAAGCCTACACTGACCATTCAAATATGATTTCCTCGGAACAGCTCAATGCAGGGCCGGAGAGTCGGTAGCCAAGCCGTCGTCGGCCGTGGGAAGAGAAAGTTGGGTCTATCTTTTGATTTCAAATATTTGACACCCTGTTCGTTCATCTGGAAAATGACCAACAATATTGTGATCTCGGAAGACAAACTGGAGACGGGTCCTTTGTCGAAAAATTCTTGCCCCGTGCCAGCCGGTGGCAGCCAAGCTCTCGCCACCTCTCTTTTCAGTCTTTTATTGCAAAAATTCGTGGTAATTGGGTAACCTAAAAACCTCAAGTAGACAGAATGTTCTAAAGGAGGATGAGAGGAGGGGCATACCTACTCAAACTCGTAAGTGGTCACTGACTCTTAGGGTCAGTCTTAAACTCTTCGCGACTTTGAAACGGCCTCCGGATTACGGGTGATGAACTTGTGAATAATTTGACCGTCGACATGGATGTACTTGTGGAATGGACCAACGGGACTAAAAACGTTGTAAGTTCGGCTGAATTGGAGGCGATTCCTCCGGCGAAAACTCTAAGCTTAAAAACCGGCTCTCGCGTTCGGATGAACTATAAAGGAAAGTATTATCCTGGTACTGTTGTTGCTACCGAAGATGATGAGGAATCTCTAAATTATTTGAGTCCGTATCATCAAAACTCTTCGGACTCCGATGATGATTTACCACTCGCGAATTTTGCCGTTTTTGATAAGAAAAATAAATCGTGCCACAATTCCGAATCTCCGAGCCGCGAAAATATCTTAGAGAAAAGTTGTTTGTCGGAAAAATCTCCAAGTAGTGTGCAAGATGAAATCGCGAATCGTCCTGATAGCAGCGAGCCAATACCGTGTGTTGTGTGTGGCAGGGAAATATTCGCCGCTTGTGTTAATTGTTCTGCAGTAGTGTATTACGATCATTTTTTCGAGGAAAATGTTGATTCAAACGCAGAGAGGTGGTTTTATGAGAAAGAAAAAAATAACAGTTATTAATAAAAAAAAAAAAAATAAGGCAATTAATACAATGGGTAAACGCATTTTTTTTTTCTTTTTTTTTTTAATCAACTCTTCTGAATACATGATAGTCAAAATTGTATTAGGGGTTCGTTGGTAAATAGGTTTTTAAAATTCGAAAACGAGTTGAAACTAATATCAAGCGTTAGCCGTGAGCTCTGCGGCATCAAGACAGGGGCGTAACTAGTTGCTGCGCGCGGAAACGGGTTTGACGTAAGGGCGTATCTTGGCATATTTCTTTAAACTCGTCTTAAACCTCTTTAAAAATCAATAATGATATAAAAATTTGACATATCATGAATCCTGACCTTTTTTCCTATAAACCGATGAAAAAATGATCACCGTAGGTTGAATAGCTAAACGATGGCACGCAAAAGAAGATAGCGAAAATCTTATTTTCGCTCTCCTGAAAAGTAGCGAAAAACGAGATACGCCCTTACGTCAGAGGAGCGACGAAATTGCACAACACGTTGCAATTATGAATTAGGAACTGCAATTTATGGATCATCTGTAAAAACACTTAAAAGCATAGGGAAACTATCGACACACACGCTATTTCTAAACTGAGCCAGAAATCACAGTTTCAAATTGCAAAATGAGGTCCAATTTGTCTGATTTTTCTTGACGACATGAAAGTTCCTGATATTTTCCTATTTTCCCCCTTTTTACTAGCGCACAGTGGATTGAGTCAATGTGAGCGGTCGGACGTGAAATTTTTGACTAAAACTGCAAATTTTGATGTTTATTTCGTCATATTTTAAACTTTAAGGTGTGCTAAGAGAAGAAAATTTCACGAGGAAACCAAGAGGACCACTTTTAGAACCTCAAAGTTTTGTGTAGCCAGAGTTATAAGCGTTTAAAGTTGCCAAATTTAGTCCGACCTCTCCTAGTGACTCGCTCCATCGTGTGACGGTGGACACCCGGATAGAGTTAAAGCATCGTGACTGCGGCGGCTAATGCGGGACCGCAAAGGTTCTCAAACTTGGGAATCCAGAGCGGGTCGCCACCGCGTCGGCCACAACTATCCAAAGGGAACTCGCCCTGCAGAGGGCGACCGAGGGGGGTGCGGGGGCGGGGGCAAAACAAGACGGACGAAAAGCTGACAAAAGTTGGACGAAAGTCCGTTCCGTTGTCAGGCCGACAAAAGCTGGAGCGTTGGGTGAAAATTGAGTGGGTCGGACGCGGGACGAGGGGAATGCAAATGGAGCAAAAACGCTGGTCTGTCCCGTCCCGTCGCGTCGATAGGTCAAAGGGATTGAGCGTCGGGCGGGCGGGCGTCGCGACGCCCGCTGCGGTGGTGCGATGACGTCGATGACGTGTTCTTGATGAACGGGAGCGGGAGTCGTGGCAGAAAACAAACCGGTGCGGTGCGGTGGTGTGGTGGTGGGCGCGAGTCGAGTTGGAGTCCACGGATCAATAGGACGATGACTTGACGTGCACGGAAAAGATAGTGAAAGTTGAGTGGGAATCGTCCCGCTGACCCACTGACTGACTTCGGGACTTCTTCCCCGATCCCGTCAAAGTTTTCCCGGTCCCCTCTCATTCCGCGGGGTGGCTACTCATAATCACTTTTTCGAAGGGAGGAGCGGACAAGAATCCACACTTGACTTTTCTTCAAAGAAGAGGAGGAAAAAGTAGAAAAGAGACCTAAGGGAAAGAAAAGAGAAAGGAGAGGAGGAAGTAAAAAAGAGGTATAAAAACAAGTTAAGTGAACGGGGAATAAAGAGAAAAAAGAATAAAAAGAGAAATAAGAAGAAGAAAACAGAGAAAGAAGAAGAAGAAAACAGAGATAGAAGAAGAGAAAAGAGAAAGGAGAAGAAGAAAACAGAGAAAGAGGAGGAAGAAAACAGAGAAAGAAGAAGATAAAAGAAAAAGAAGAGAAAAGAGAAAGAAGAAAAATAGAAAGAAGAAGATAAAAGAAAAAGAAGAGAAAAGAGAAAGAAGAAAAATAGAAAGAAGAAGAAAAAGAGAAGGAAGAAGAAAAAAGAGAAAGAAGAGGAAAAAGAAGGAGAAGAAAGAGGAAGAAGAAGAAGAAAGAGGAAAAATTAGAAAGAGGAAAAATTCGAAAGAGGAAAAATGAGAAAGAAGAAGAAAAATCAGAGAGAAAAAGAAAAAAGAAAAAGAAGAACAGACAAGAAGAACATTAAATCGCTTGTGAATCGATCGAGAGAGAAAAATATTGACTGATCGACATCGATTCGGTCGGCATGGAGTCGATCGACAAAGGACAAAAAAAAAACAATTTCGTTTTAAAGTATTTTTCGATGGAACTATGTCGATCGGAACGATACCGGCCTAATATTCACAGCCCAAAAGCAAAAGTTCTCAGCTGCATTCACGATCACATCCGCAGACATTGCATAGTTGACATTTAATCTTGGAACAAGATAAAAAAATGCCTTCAAAATCCTCCGCGGCAACCAGTCATACACTTTCTTGGCTCCGAGTCGGAGCGAAAGACGAGGTGTGACCTCGGCTCGCTCTTATCAAGTCGCTACATCGCGAATTAATTATTTGAGTCAGAGAACGGCTAGAACGGAGAACGGACGGGCAATAAAATTTTAATAGAGTTATCTTTCGCAGGAATTTGATGCCTCTCAAGTGCGACTTTCAGCTTAGGTTTCTTCGAAACGCCCTGATATGAAACTCTCAAACTGAGTGGCGCCGCAACTTCAGGGTTTACTTTGCCAACAAATGAATACCTCAAGTCTGAGTGATAACCTGCTGCAAAATATTGCGAGGATCAAACGTTGTTAGATTGTTAACCGTGTGATAATACGCAAGAAACAATCAACATTACCAGCCAGGAAAAATTTTGAACCACTCAACTCGAACACGTTAGGCTCTTCTCGACGATTCTCCTTTGATGAAAATCTGAGCTTTGCCCAGGTATGCATGCCCTGCCAAGTCATGTAATTTCACAATCACGTAATCGATTATTCTTCCGAGTATAACACTAGGAAACTCTTTGATAAAAGCACAGACTAAATTGACAATTTGAAACACAGCCACCGGCCAAGAGAGCCTGATGTTCTATTCAGATGCATTTTTCTGAAAATATGCATCGGTAGTAGAATGCATGTCTGTCTCATTAAACTGAATGACATCTTGATAGTAATCACGATAACTGGCTATTATTTTGTGGAACTCTCTTGTGGAGGGTTGGCAAGTGACATTTCTCACGCTGCAAATTTAAATAAAACCAGAGAACGCCTAAATTGGACCACTAGAAAGGCGATATTTTTGTTATTTCGCATAAATAAGTCGGAAGGGAAACCAACCCTTTTTGTTTTACAAAGTAGCGTCCTTCCATAATGGGGTTGAATATAGCTTCCTTGTGGCAGCATTCACACCTGACTTGTTTGGACCGCGTTAAGCAGAAAGGAACCAAGCCACATCACCTATTTCCAAATTTAATTGGCAATTTAATTTTTTACATAAAAACGGTTGTGCGGATTTTTGAGAAAATTTCAGTGGATTTGCTCCATAAAAAGAAGCAAATTCCTTGAAATTTTCAAAGGAATCCGCACGAGCGTTCTCTTGTGAAAAATTCAATTGCCCAGTTTTTGGCAATAGCTGATGTGGCTTGGTTTCTTCCTGCTAAACGCAATTCAATTTTATACCCGTAAAAACTGCGCATTCAAAAAGGGGAGACGGAAAGAGAGATGCAGTTTGTATATTAGAGTAATATCAACTAGATTCGTTAGGTATGACACGAGGAGGACTGCGTCGAGTTACAACTACAGCTGGTACTGATTTATCGGGACCTTGAGAGCTTTTAGACAATTAAAAAGAAGAACCCTGTTGGCAAGAATGAGAGTTTGTGGTAAGCGATTAATTCTAGATTTTACTGTAGCACAATGCCAAATTCTCGGGCCACTTCTGGCAAATTGAAAACTCAAACTCACAGTTTGCGCGTGTTTTCTGGTATGGATCCAATTTGATGGCTTCAGAGGTACTCGATAAAGAACAAAAAAGAAGAATTAAATGAAATTACACACACCTGCATCTTTGAGGGTTACGCTTTTCGTGCTTGCTGCAATATCGTTGTTTGAATCGACAGACGGACTGTAGCTTTCTACACTCCCATCCTAGAACAGACAAGAAAATCAACACATCAGACTTGCATTGCGAACGACAAATATTAAAATCAAGGAAAGACACGTTCCGAAAACCAGGGCTATTTCACGTGTAGTAATGCTCCAGGGGGATATATCATCCCTCTCCTTGAAGCCACATTCACTTTAAAAATGTTTTTATTCGAAAATGCTCGCCTGGAGGTATGTGCCGAGGTTTTTTTCATATTTTATTTTTGTTGGTTTGCATTTACTGTGTAGAGAAAATAGAAGCCATACGACGCCACCGTATGATTATGTGATTTTTTTGTATCACAAGATCAGGAAATCACCCAATGAATTCAATTTTCGCTCTCCTTATTCCAGTTATGTTGAGGTAAAATAAATAAATTACACAAGCTTGGTAACATTGCCGTATCTTCTTGGATACTCTCTGCACGTTGCAGTCATTTATTTGAGGACCGTTTCATCTTACTCTGAAGCGTGCGGATGCAATATTGTAATTTTTATCATGCACTGAAAAATATATTTCGATGGCTAAAATATATACATAAAGGTGCACGCATCTAACATCTAACTGCAGCATTACCTATCATACGAAGAAAAATTGTGTAGGTAAATTGAATATTTCGTAGAGTGTTGTTCATATCTGGAGAGAGCAAATATTAAAGAAGTTTCCGGTGGCAATTGTGAATTTTTCATTCCGATGGTGTGGGCAAGTTTGCAACATCACATATTGTTTTATCTTTGCCAACCCCGACTTGCAAGAAAAACAAAATACAAATGTGGGCGATTACGTCCAGTTTCTGATTTTTGGCCATATGAGGCCTTATCTGTAACAATGGCGGATGTAAAAAATCACCTTTTCGAAAAACGCTTAAAAAACTGTTTTGGTCACACAAAAATCTAATATGTTTGGCTCTAGCATAATGTACAGATCTCGAGGATCTTATTTCAAGTATTTTCTTAAAATTTTCTCGATGCTAAAACAGTTTTTTGAACATGTTTCGGAAAGGTAATTTTTCACATCCGCCATTGTTACATTTAAGTCCTCATATTCATGGTCTTTGTGGAGGTTGTCGAGTGAGAACTTTTGTGTCATCATTCCCAGCGAAAGCGTTTGAAACTTACACGCAAACGAGTGCAGAACACCCACCCTTACACACGCGTACAAGCACACGAATGGTCAACAGGTCAAAGTCACGGTCAGAGAGGATTTGTGAATGAATGTCCACGGAGTTCCTCGCACAGAAACGGCATGAACTTTAAAGGCACTAAAACAAGAAACGACTAGCTTCGCCTTGTTTGAGAGTAATGAATGTGGTCGATTTACAATGCGGAAGGTCGCGAGTGCAATTTGATCGGGGAAACTTGTGTCCGTGCCGTGGGCTGTGTCAACTATTTTGACCTAGAACAAATCATTTCCTCGGCGATCCGCAAAATCAGTGGACATACCACATTCCTGCCCGCAGGCATCATGCAATCGAGGATCGAGTCAAAATTATTGCAGCAACAGATCACAAAGCTGAGTAAGATTTAGACCTACACAGTACATCAATCGCTCTGTAATAGTACATCATGTCTAACAGGGTGTCTACTAAAACAAGCTGGCCAAAAAATCAGTACTTTTACAGTGCTTTTTCAGTAGATTCCCAAATAATTCAGTACCTCTTCAATAGAAGAATTCAGTATACTTGTTCAGTACCTTCAATTGACGAAATTCGAAAAATTTCAAAAATTTGAATTTCTTGCTTAAATTGCGACAAAAATGACGAAAATTCCGGACCTTCTTGCACTTCTATTTTCGCCATTTTTCAGTACTTCCGGACCGCCCTGAAAAAATCAGTACTTTTTCTAGGCTTTCAGGAAATTCCTGACTTAGAGACACCCTGGTCTATGCATGAAAACTTTGTGTAGAACACGTTTGAAACATTAAACCTGCCTATAATAACTCGCAAGAAAGAAATTGAAGTGTTAGCCAGTAAATTCGAACTTCTCGCTTGCGAAAAACCCATCATCGGAGAAGGTCAAATCAGCCACTGAAAACATCAAGTACATTTTGCGACTAACTGAAGCTTGATTTTACACACACAAATTCCCGTTTTTATAAAAATTGCCTAAGTACACATCTATTTCCTCCCTGAAAATATCCTCAATTAGTTCCGTTGCATTTTAGTTTGAAAATTCTTAAACGATTAGTAATTCATCTTTATTCATTTTAATTTCTTTTACTTCGAATGGAAACACTCGGTTCGGTACAGATCAAGCAAGAAAATGTAATTTTCAAGGAAAATGTCAGTGAGAGTTTGTTATTACGCGAACCTTTGGGAAGTCCGCGCGAAGTGGATTTTTTTTTTTTTAATGGGAATTAGACATGGTTTTGCATTTCCTCTTCCGTTGGCTACTTATGAGAGAAAAGGGGAAAGGATGTAACGCCTTTATAGAAAAAAAGAGAAGAAAAAAACTCGTTTCCCTTCCCACTGGCAGCGGCAAGGCATGAGTTCATTGCCAGAATACCTTACCAAATCAATCACTCCATAATACTGTTTTCTGTTTACTCTGAGATTCACAGCACATCTGCCAGCTTCATTAAGAATTGTACTGGCTGGAATGTGTATCAGAATATTCCGCGGAATTCGAAATGGTGAGCAGAAAGTTTCTTGTACTGCTTGGTATGCGTGGAATTATTAATTTTTCCGCATGTTCTGTTTCTTGCAGCAGGTTCATGTGCTAAGTAATAAATATTCAACGCTGAAGAATGAATGCTAATTTCTCTCACAGGGTCTCCAGCTTTTTTCATGTTTCACTTTAGACGGTTGAGGCTAGGCGGATTTTTTGAAAACTATCACTTCTTTCGGCACAACTTTGTTCCCCCTTCGAAAGGACCCCTTCGGCTCAAACTGCAATATCGTGATACAATAATTTCCTATGCCCACTCAGACTTGAAATGAGAGCTTCAAACGTGTCTGTCCGCCCAAAAAGCAGATGAATCGGCTTCATACGAACGTATTTCTGCAAAACGGAACTATGCGCATTATGACGTGAGCCCTGTTATGCATATATTATTAAGGGTCTCAGGGCTCATGTCGCAATGCACATAGTTCCATTTGGCAGAGACACGTCTACTTAAACATCTCTTAACAAACCATCCCCATACGAAAGGAGATGATACGGTCCATTGGTTCAAAGATAAAGGAAGCGGGTGCTTCATCTTTTACACGGGGGAGGAGTGAGTTCAAGGCTATGTGCGTGACATGACATAATACGTTACTTTTCACCGCAACCGTGCTTTGAATGTTTAATTCTCGACGGAAAAAAACAAGGCGCGAAAGAGTGAGGGGCAAGTCGTAATAGAAATGCGTACATTCAGAACACCTTAAGCTCCGCAAGGTATTGCTACTGCTACGATTGTGCATGATATAAATCAGACTGGAACCTCGAGTTTAAAACATAGATTTTTTTTCATTTTCGGAAATCCCGATTTTTCCTGATTTTTGATTGCAAAATCCTGATTCCGTAATTGTTTCAAACTCTGATAAAATCCTGATTTTCCGCGGAGAAAAATTAACGGACGGACAGCGGATAACTACCGGATAATAAGCGGGCGGCCAACTTTTCTCAAATCCTGATTTTACGTCCAATTTTTCCTCAAATCCTGATGAAATCGGGATTAAATCTTGATGGACCTCAAATCCTGATGGAATCGGAAAAATCCCCCTGGAACAAAACCACATTGGATTTAGAGTCCATGCAGACTCTTAAAAACATCGACAAGAAAAAATACTCTTGATTCAATCGGATTTTTGCTTAAATGAAGAACCAAGCTGCTTAATTTGAGCGGATTTCCTTTTGATTTAAGCTTAAATCTGATTGAATCAAGAGTATTTTTTCTTGTCAATGTTTTCAAGAGTCTGGACTCTAGATCCGGTGTGTTTTTTTTTTTTTTTCAGTGCGGGAAAATCCTGATGCCAGACGCCCTGCTGATTATTCCCGATGACGGCGAATGCCACGACTTTCCCGATGGCTTTTCCAGACCGGCGGAAACCTTGGAAACTTGGGGAATAAAGACACATTCACACGAGGGGCGGCGGAGAACACGCGATAAAAGGGCGGGCTGGGCGACGAGGCGAGGGCGATGAGGGTGCGAATCCGTTGTTTGCAACTTGTAATGAGCCATAAACACGGGTCGGAAGCTATGCCCGATGCCCCCATGCTCGGGCTCCTTAATTCAATTAATCGGAGGGGTCGTCGTCGTCGGGCGCCCGCACGGGGGAGGGCGTTCGGGATTCGGGATCGTGCGTCGTCGTCGATACAGGAAGCGACCGAATCGATCCTGGGTCGACTGACAGCGACACCCGCCTCATGACGCATCCTTGCGTGGGCTCTCATCCGAGTTCTGACCTAGGTTCGCCGTCTCCGCCACGGCTCAGTCACTCCATCATCACCGTTCGCATCTCGTCGAAATGGGATCCCCAAGGTCGAGCTCGTCAGATTCCGGGTAAAGGTAGATTACCGACGGATATGGATCGTATTCGATAATGGTACAATGGATCGTTCACTAGAAAAAAAAAACAAAAAAAAAAAGAAGCGGGAAGTGTCAGGGAATTTTATAAAATCAGGGAAAACCTCACTGGGAATAAAAAACACATTGGATCTAGAGTCCAGACTCTTGAAAACATTGACAAGAAAACATACTCTTGATTCAATCAGATTTTAGCTTAAATCAAAAGGAAATCCGCTCAAATTAAGAGGCTTGGTTCTTGATTTAAGCAAAAATCCGATTGAATCAAGAGTGTTTTTTCTTGTCCATGTTTTTAAGAGTCTGGACTCTAGATCCAATGTGTTTTTTTCCAGTGTAATGAACTCTCAATGGGACTGATTTTAACAGAATAACTTCAAGTCGCATTTTGGGAAAAATAAAAAGGGTGTGCTCTTGAATTCAACTAGTCGGAAATCTAAACCCCCTTTTTTCGATTCCAACAATTGATGCGACATGGTGTGTATCTGTTAAGCTT